TAACAGGCTGTGAGGAGTCGTATCATAAATATTATGAAGACAGGAACGTTCTCCTGATGCTACAAGAAAATATGTTTGGATTTTCATATGAATTAAAAACAGGAATTTAAATTTACGGGCTCTTTGATGACAGCTGTGGCAGTTTGTTTTCATGATGGTTGTTTTTTTTCCTCAAAAGATTCACATGTTTTGTGAATTCCCTCTTCATGTGTTTGCTCTTTCTGTGCATCTGCTTCACAATCCTTCCTGTTTGGGACATGTCGTGAATTTTATGTCTGTTCTGTTTTGTTTTGCATTACAAAAAAGACAATGGTGTAGTAATAATGTAGTAAATATAGTGGATGTAATCTTAGATGAAATTTAGGAAAATAAATTGTTTTAAAATGTTTTTTCATATTTTGTTTTATAATCAAGTATGTGTCTTTATACATGGTTTTCAGAATTGTTACAGATGTATTTTAAAAACTAGAAATCAGCTGTCATGGATAGTCATGGACAAAGTTTAGTCAAAATGAAGATTAAAAAGAAATTAACGTAAAGGATATGATGTTTTGACAAGTAGGTTACAACTCCTTGGGATTAATTAATGGTCTCTCTGTGGGAACTGGTGTGCAAGAAGGGTCAAATTAGTGCCGCATTGAACTTCTAACCTCGTATCTTCTGTATAGTCCTTCTAATGTTTCCTTTCAGTGGCAACCTGCAGCTCAGGATGAGAGGCTCCTGACTGTGATTTCTGCATCTTCTCGTCAGTTCAAAGGCAAGGACTCAAACATTAGTGTTCAATGTGCTCCTAGCAATGTTGACTTAAACCTAACAACTGATTAGACACTGTAAACAGCAGAGTCACTTGAAACCATGCATGTGAGATCAGACTAAAAATGAGTGAGAGAGAGACAGAGAGAGAGAGAGAGAGAGAGAGAGAGAGAGCAGCTATAAATTCCATGAGATCCACAAGCCAATTCTTAAATCACCAAATAATACATTAATTATCAGTTATTTATTTAATAATTTGAAACCGAAGAATATGTAAAGTTGAGTAGCTCCTGCCCTTCTTCCTCATCGCCTTGTTATTTTGATATTCTGTTCCCTTTAGCTAATACAGGGCAGAAAATGTATATTGATATGAAGAACTGCTTCATTTGTTCTCACCAGCTTTTTCCTGAGAGCACATTCCAACATCTAAAGTTCTAAAGTTACACTGGCCGATATTAAGCAAAAGTTGCACATTTTGTTTATATATCTTTTACATCACCATTTCTATTCAAGCATGTAGGACCTATAGTAGCCTTCAGACATCAATAAATCAAGAACAAAATTAACCTTAACTGATTGCAAATCCAATTATCCTGTAAATAAAATGTTAAAACTTTTACTTTTTTCCGTCCAGCCAAACCTTATTTAAAAATCTAAGTTAGTGCTGCTTCTGTATGGATGATCTCTTTCTCTTATGCGAACAGACTGTATTCCAAATGAACACATCCTCTGTTCAGTATACAAACCAAAAAGAACTATTCGCTGAGGTTCAGTGAATAGTGTTGTTTTCCATGTACAAGAATGGGGGAAGTTATACTTCAACAATGGTATAACATTTAAAAAGAAATATGGGATTCGGTAAGAAATCAAACAGCTGCTTTCTAAAGATTCATTCCTCCACCTCCAATATCACCCTGTTTGTTTGTTCTGTCCTAAGATGTATAGCTCAAACACTGCATTGGAAGCATGTGGGCAGTCTTCATTACATTAAATTCCAATATAAACATTGGAACCAGGCTTTTTTGATTAAGAAGGAGGGGATGTTTTCAGCTGTGGAAGAAAAGGGAAGAAAGGACAAAGACGAGAACTGAAGATGTTTCCCTAATGGAGGGATGTTCTCCTGCAGTGAGACATGAAATGATGCTGACCATGACCTTGTCTGACCTCATGGTATTTTCCTCAACTTAATTCCCCTGCTCAGTGTGTGTGTGGGGAGGGTATGAGTGCACGCATGTTGGCTTGGACTGGCCCCATTATTGATGGGTCTAACAAGCCTTGGTCAAAGGTCAGACAGTGATGAGTGGAAAAGGATGAAGCAAGACTGTTAAAGACCTTTAAAACACCACCTGCACCACCTGCTTTCACACACTCACACTCACACTCACTCTCTCTCTCTCTCTCTCTCTCTCATACCCTCTTTCTCTTTTTCTTTCTCTCTCTCTCTCTCTCTACACCTCACACACACACACAGTGAATGTTGGCTGATTGTTCCCAGACCATATTTAAACAAATACCTATTGCCTCTGTATCCCTATTGCCCTCCACCACATGGATGGAAGGTCTTTGCAAAGATTCCAGTTTTAACGCCATATGCATAGTAGAAATATATTGTAAATAATTTACTTTTCCAAATCTTTTTGGCAGCTTCTGGACCTATTTTATTCAACAACTTGTCCAGTAAAGTTCTAAATGTAGGCAAAGCACTACATAATAAACCATTGTTTTGCAATTAATGTAATCATAGTAGCTGCACTTTCAATCTGTCAGACCCATGATTCCGAGGTCAAAGCTACCTGGAAGAATGATGTCCGGTAAGAATGACAAAACCTGCTTTAAAATAACACAAACACTTAGCATCTGTATTCCACTTCTACAACTGACACTTGTAACTATACTTCATCAAGTTATCAATACTTTCTTCACTGGGGCAAGGACATATCTATTAGGAGAAACCACAACTGTTGTTGTGATCTAATGCTCCTAACTTTAGTTATGTGTATTCCCATCTGTAAAACTCCAAATATTTAAATTTTAATTTAATTTGGCAAACAGCCTACTGAGGTAAAAAAAAAAACATTATAAAAAGCTACATCAGCATATTTAATCAACAGTAACTCATGGATACAGAAACTTTTATTGTGGCTCCATGGAGAGGACTAGAAGCCTCCTGGCCTCCATGCTGCAGCAGAGCAAAGTGGTAACATCCTCTATGTAGCAGGAAGCAGCAGGGTTTATGGGAAATGTGGTCTCAATTTTAAGAAACTTTAAGATTGTGCCACATGTGTGGGACAGAAGCTGCTCTTTTACACCTAGCATAGTTTGTTAGTATACAAAGGTTTTATTTTTAAGAATTCCAAAGGCGATACATTATTTTACCTGATTGCTTAAAGAAAGAAAATTGCCATCAGCTTACGCTTCACTCATGTTAAATTTATATGAGATTATTCTTCAAGGACTTGAGAACTCTTTATCAAAAGAACTACACACATAAATTAATATTTAAAAATTTGAAAATCTGTAGATCTGGTAAATTTAATTAATTTCAAAAAATCTGCTAAATAAGGAAACTTTGAGAATGTCGCTCATGTGACTTATATAATATTTAATTCATACTTTCTTCCATCCTAAATTGTGTGTTGATGACAGTTTTAACTGTCATTACACTAAGCAAACATTGTGGTTCAGTCAAAGCGCTAAAAGTTCTTTTTTCCATTTGCACAGTAAATAAAGAGTTCATCTTTGGAGGTCAAAACTGCAGATTTGACTGATTTTTAGTTCATGTAATATATTTTCCTAAAACTGGATTCATAGCAACCACGTTTCGTTTGTATATTTGGGTATTTCTTTTATATTTCTTGTTAACATTTTCATGTCTGTCAGTCATGCAGGTGAAAGAGAAGCCCACCCAAAACAAGGACTCAAGAGTTTGGTACAGACAAGTTTACAGTTAAACATGGATATGTCAGTGCTGTGTTTACTTGTCTCTGCTGCAGGGCCTCTCAATCCATCCCTGCATTTGTGCTTTACAAATTACATTTGTCATTGTGAAAGCTGATGGTTTACACTGGCATGCTTTGAACCCTGAATGAGTGCACAAATGCATGTGCACATATGTATCTGCATGTGAAGTTCAAACTGTGTGTGTGTGAATGTGTGTGTGTGTGTGATCTCCTACCTGTTATCGTGATGTTGCTGTAGATGTTGGACAGTTGCTCTTTGAGCAGTACAAGCTGTGTGCTGGCTGCCTTCTCCCTCTGCAGCTCCAGCATTATATCAGGATGGCTGGCTAGTTTGCAGCCCTTCTGTTTGTCCAGTGCAATGTCACTGCGAACTATATCTGCGGGACAGTTTAGACACAGGGAATAAAGTGAATGAAGACTTTTCTTTAACTAATTTATTTATTTTCTCCTGGCCCTGAAACAGCTAAGCCTGCATCTGGTTTTATTGTTGAAGGGTTATATGTTTACTTTAGACTCCCTCAAGATAATACAATTTGAAAATAAAGTAAACACAATATGACTTTAAAATAATTGTTGAGTCTCAAATATATCTGCCTGGTATATTTTGCTCACATGTATCAAAATAAAACGTATCACAAAAATAAAACATGACTATTGGCTTGTAACCAGGGTTGTCATGATCACGTTACTGTGAGAGCAAGACTTTACCAAAGGAAAGATTGGAACAGACTATTTCTTCTCATATAATTGTTTAAAATATACAATTTTTTAACTTTTAGAAATGTTAATATTAATTAAAATTCACCAAATAAAAATCAACATAAAGCAGAACTGTGACAAACATAGAAGTACTGTTATTATTCATCTGTTTCAAAATTACCAAATTCTGGTTAAAATAATCACCAAGAAACCGCTCCTTATAAAATATTATATAAAGTATATGGGTAATGACTGACGGCTACACTGCAGTGGTTTTGAACCCTGTGATTGGCTGATGTTCCGTCTTGTTTTCCTCATCTTGCACTACATTGTATTAAAATATGAATGCATTTTTAAAAATCTTTTGAGAGTAAATATATACTATATATATATATATATATATACGTACACACACTTTTCATCTTTTGAAAGCCATCTGCTTTCACAAGTTAGTTCTCTCAATACATTTTCTGAAAAATGTAGCCCAGCCAGATCATTTTTTTAACATGTGTCTGCTCTTAGTTTGGACACAGACACTGAGTCGAATAGAAAAAAAAACCTACTACTATTACTTTTTCTATTGTTATTGTTCTTGCAAGCTATGAACGTATACACATACACAGACACGCCATACAATATAGTACAGAATACAGTAATATCAATATCTACACATTGTGTTTTAAATTCACAATTGGATTTATATATTTAAATAATGTTTTAAAGATCCGCTCCAGTGTCAACATTTACTGTAGTAATGAGTGGGCTTTGGCCACTCATTACAAAAGGAGGGACAGATTTGGACCGTGGGTCATATCTTTGCCACCCCTTACACTGCCATTGTTTGCTACAAATTATTTATATAGCATACGTCTGGTGCTGTATATATAAAGAAGACATTTTGACTTTAACAGTGTCTATTCTATCATGGCGTCGTTATACATACAGGCGAATCATAAAACATGTAGTTGCACTTACTAGAAGACGTTCTTATTGTAGTTTGTGAATATCGGTTGATTAACTTTGAATTATTGTGTGACTGACATTGAACATTGTTTTGAACATTGTTTTCTGAGCACAATTAGATTTTTTTTTTTCATTACTAGCTAGCCGTTATAGCTGTTTGACATGTTCCTAACCGTTTTCAAACAAGTACAAACAAACTGGACGCCGAGTATTAAAACATAATATTTTGGCTAAATATTAAATTATTCACTGTAAAAAGGGACGTTGTTTATTTTTATATACCGTAACTCGAATTATGTCGTACACACACGAAAGAGAACAAAAGACAGCCTTTGCTGACATACCATCTTCGTAGTTCTTCAGGTAATAGTCTGGTCCCGGTCCTCTGAACTTAGCCAGGTTCTTCTGGTTGTTGAACTGCAGAAAATCTGTTCGTTTTCCCCCGAAACGAAGAAAAGCAGGCGCCAGGCCTCGGGCCAGGGTCACTAACCGCTTGGAGCTGAAGAAAGCACAATGTAGCAACAATAATAATCAAAACATGACAAAATTAATAAATATTTGAATAAACAAACATAATGAGTTTAACAGAAATCTGTACATGTAACATTTTCATACACACAAAAAGAACTGCGTGCCGTAAACCGTTAATTTTCTTAATAACTTTTTTAAAAACGAATATGAAAACTTTGAATTTTAAAACAATTACGCAGCAACAAAAGCTGTTTTTCATACCATAACAAAATGAAGAAATTGGATATAGTACTTCTAGCTACATGTTTTTCGGCCTTGACGTTGGTGAACTACTTAAACATCTACTTAAACATCTGTCAGCCGTTGGAAAACACTATCAGGAAGTCGCCACAGCAGGTACAGGAGGCTGTCACTTCGTAGGAATGGAGGGCAAGACGAACACACATGTGGAGCTTAACAATTTTAACCGATTTTTGTTAAACCTCCCACTCAGTTTAAATTGCAATGTGTTTATTTTTTTAAAAGCACGTAAAATAATAGGGGTTCCTCGTAACACTTTACTGCTGGGAGTGCTCTCTTCGACTGTACTCGTCGACCAGAACGAAGCCATTTCATTGTTTATAAATGTATTGTTCATTATTTGTTTGTGTTCATAACAATTTGGATTATGTATATTATAGGCAACAATAATACAGCTTCGGGTTGGATTCTGTTTAAAGGCTAAACCTACAACCAAGTGTTACTGTAGCATAAGGTCGTGCTCGTTTGTTTGAGCAAACGCGTTTTGCTGTCACTCTCTTTAAATCTGTGTTAAACTCTAGTGGCGTGTTGTAGACGCTAATAACCGGTTGTTATGATGTACTTGGGTTTGTTCTCATTTTAAAGCTAATTCTAAGGTCAGTTCCTTCCTAACTGCAGTGTGGGCCTACACTGTATGTCTGTCTGTCTGAAAAGTCGTTTGCAGGAGGGTTCGGTTGCAAGACATGTTTCTCCTATCGCGGGTCAAAACTGAGCAATGCAACTTCAAAAACGCTAGAATCAAGTCTCTGTGCTCAGTCAGCTTAGATTCAATTACTGGGAAGAAGAAACATCTTGCTGCAGATGTTTTTCTTCACTGGATCCTTACATTACTTATTCACTATAATGAAACCCCCCTATTTTATTTTATTTTGTGTCTCTAAATGATTATAAACCCATCTAGTCTTTGTTAAATGTCTTTCTTAAACTTATTTTATAAAATAACTTTTTATTTTTTGGATAAGTAGATTAATGATAAACTATTAAATATAAACACACTCCAAGTAGTATTTTTACTTTACCAGTTTTTCTTATTTTGTCTAAATAAAATTAAACAAATGTCTAACTTCATTTTTTGTTGCATCTTATAATAAAAAATGTTTATTCTATTTGTTGTGAATTTTTTTTCATTGCATAAATATCACGAGTAAGACTTTAAGATTTTAAATAAGTAATTAAAAATAAATTCCGCTCAGATACACTTTGTGTGCACTATGGAAAGCACATATTTATATGTGACAAAATTGTACTTTTCTATCTAGTTGAAAGAAGAAAAAAATCTTTAACGCTGTAAAATACTTGACCTTTTCTAGGTAAATACCGACGCAGTGTGTTTAGGAATACCAACGTCATGGTGAGGACTACCACAATCAAAACAAAAACTTTTACTATTCACTATGAAATAGTAAAAGTGAATAATTCCTTAAGAGGTTAACAAACCATACGAGTTAATGTGCACACTATACGACTAGTGAATACACTCCGTGGATGAAGGGAAAACACAACACGCAGTGTTCTGCAGAAAAAGAACAGTTTCTGGAACAGGTCATCTTCAGTAAATCATATTTGACACTCTCTGACAGTGATTTAGTTTGATTTTAAAACTGAAATAAACAATGCTGCTGCCTATTTTAAATCCAATCCAGCATCTGGTCGGTCACTACAGTCTGGACACTGCTGTTGTACACTTCAGTTATACAGAGAGACAGAGAGGGAGAAAAAAACCCTCCTTTACAAGTTATTTTAAGATTTGTATTTTTAAAAATGCCATATTTCATATGGTCAAAACGTGTGCGTGTTGTAGTCTGCACAGTGTCTCTGTGGAGAATTTCTCTCCCATTGTTCTGAGAAGTGGACTGAAGTTAATAGTTAGAAAAATGAATGAAAGTCAAAACCTCACCATGCTTTTTATATAAAAAGAAACAAAACATTAAAACAATGTGGCTGACGTGGGGCTCGGGCTTTTTTGTGGTTTCAAGGGAAGAAAATTAAAACCTCAAAACCAGATTTTAATAACTTGTGAAACAGACACGCAGCGCCGTGAACCAAACGCGTATGGGGCCCACAGTTTGTTTGCCCTAGACGAGGCGCGCTGTGTCTGTGTTCTTTGGTTGACAGCTTTTTATCCAAACTTTTGGATTGTGTCACTGTGCCTGTGGAAACAATTTACTGATGTGGATCCCTGCACTGTTGTGAGTGATAAGGACGCAGGCTGACTCCATTTATGATCATTTAGACAACGTGGCTGCGTGCGTAATGGATAAAAGAAAAGCACTCCATCGTGGAGCAGCGTTGCAGATCGTGCTCTTGTTATAGGTGGAAGCTCGATGGTACCTCAGAAAGTCCAGCCAGCCGTCCTTGATGATCGACGGATCGAGCTGCAAAGAGAGGAAGTTGTCGTTGAGGACTCTTATCGGACTGCGGGTGTTGACATCAAGCAGAACCAGCGTCCTCTCCATGAAGCCCGGCCGCTTCCCATCGGTTGCAGTTCTCTGATATGCGGAGGAAGAAGAGGAAGAAGAGAGCACCGACTGCACCATCAAAGCAGCTAAAGATGCCAACCAAATGGAGGTCCATGGGAACGCGCATCTTGGGGATTTGGGCATCTTCTTGGTCTAGGAAGCAGGAGGATCAGCGCGTTATGGAAAGAAAGCAGATTCCAAAAATAAAAAATTCAAAGCAAAAATATAGCTACATGAAATCTGTCCCTCTGGTAATGTTGAATGTTGGTCCTTTAGCTCGGTCTAATCGATCTGATCCTGTCTTCCTGTCTAGATGCCTCACCCCTCTGCCCCCCGCCCCTCTGAGTATTTTTGGGAGCAGCTTACAAGAACGCACGCCCCGAGCCTGCCTTCCCGGCTGTAAGAGCCAGAAGCTGGCAGGAGAGGAGAGGAGAGGAGGCAGCACCGCCCCTCCCAGGTTCTCTGAGGTATGAGGATAAGCGTCTCCGAAGACCTTTGCCCAATTTATGTCTACAAATGTCATCCAAGGCTCTGTCAGTGATTTATTTGCTACTTATGTTGTATGTAGTGTGTTTCGTATTTTAAAAATACTAAAAATATTTGTAAATATTTGTAAGGCGATGACAGGAATATAAGTTTCGTATAAATGTCTTGCTATATATCCATTGTTGATGGAGAGATTAAAGTTTTTCAAACAAATAAGTGATTGCACAAACGTGAGTTTAGATCTTTGTGATGGGGTGAAGATTCATAGGCATCAACATGGCAACGTACAATCTTTGTGTTTTACGCACTAGTTATTCAGTTTATAATTATAAATTAAAATAGGAACACGCGATGTTTTTTAGATTCTAATGTTCATAAGTGCAAGTAAACCACTTTCTAACCCTAAACAAACTCTGGGGCATGGTTATAGCATAATAAAGCCATGCGTAAAGGCCGCGGGCACACGAATGGAACGAGAGTTTAACTCGCCTTATTTTAAATCCAGGACAAATACTAAACGCGCAACACACTACAAGTGTAATCCGGAACATCGTGTCCCAATTTCAACACTTCCAACGATGCACACAGAGAGCTGTAGCAGAAAAATGTGTGTTGCTGGGTCCACAACAGTCTCCAGGCTACAAAATCCAGGAGAACAAAGAGAGGCCTGCTTCAAAACAGGAAAAGCTGCAAACTTGTCAACAGAACATTTGGTGTTCCTGGCCAATGTAGAAGCTAATTTGACCAACAACTAATTTGTTACACGTTGTTTTAGAGCAGGAGACAGTTGGGAGATGGCAACAGGAACGTTTTTGGCCCCTTTTCAAAAACGTCCAAAGCTCACTTGGGATTTTAAGCTCGTACACATGGAACGTACCTATAAACATTTTTATACGACCCCGAAAATGTTTTGAGGGTAGCAACGAGGGAGAAACACAGCAAACACCAAAAACGTGCGCCCTGTTGCCATTTTTGTGAAGTCGGTGTTTGTTTAAGGTCACTGCTGTCTCACAGATGAGCAGCTAAAAGCCCGGGATGATTTTTCCATTCCGTCCTTTTTAACAATAACTACAGGAAGACGCCAAGCCGCAAAACTGTGCGAGGTGTCAACAACAATTCTGGTTTTACGCACGCCTTAAAGGTTCAATTAAAAAGGTGCAACAAGGTGTTGTGTGAATCTCAACAAGACTGTAAATATTATCCTTTAATTATTTGGAAGTTAAGTCGGTTTTCCGTCTATGGCTCATTAGTGAAATAAATTACTGACTACAGTCAGAAACACGAGCAATGAAAAATTAATCCATTGAGTTCTTTATATTATATTATAGTATAGTATAGTATATTTTGGTATTCAACGAGGCTCTTGCAGTAACAGGAAACGTATTGCTTTGCGGTGTAATCCTGCCGCAGTCTTTAACATTATAATTAACATGTGGTTTTAATGTGAGCTCAGGTCTTTTTTGGTTTTGAGTAAAAAGGTATTTGAACTGTTTGAAGAGTTTTATTGGCTCCTAATTTTAATCCATCTATAAAACCGTGTTTGCAGACGTAAGGCGGTGATTATGGGGGTGTTTTTCAAGAAAACAAACCTGAACCCGAGGGGAAAAAAAATCATTTAAAAACATTTTTAAAAAGGATATTAAATGTTTTTCTGCGTACTCACGCGCGCGTTATTGTCGCATTTCTATCGACGTGGTTGTTGAAGGAACGACTCGCTTAGAAACTTAATTAAAAAATAATACTAATGGTCCAAATTGCACTGAAGTGATAATATGTTCATTATGATCAATGTTTTGACTTTAGATGAGCCTCAGCATTAAAACCGGGGTGTTTTTAAATGACTATAGTAAATAATCTACGTAACGATATAAATAAACAAATTATTCTGCCCTTCTTTTTTTATGTCACAAACCAGTCGACAACAGAAGTTTGTTGTACTATATTTAGATTTGGACCATCGGAACGGATTGGAATAATGTTTCCTGAAGTTAATTTGTTGGAATAAGAGGTTTAAACGAATAATCAATGTTTCTTTTTTTAAAAGTTCCTATAATAAAAAATAAACTTTTATGTTTAACATTATTTATTCAAATTCAATTTAATTCAGTATCTCTTTCCTATTTTTTTTTCATTCGTTATCTTATTTTGGTATCAAAGCTATTCTGTACTACTTATTCGGTTTTTATTAAATTATACATATAAACGTATATCATCGTCCTTCAGTTGTTAAGACCGGGGATTTGATTTATTGTTGAAGCATTTTCTTTTTCTTATTTTACTATAAATGAACAGTGATCTAAGGTTTTTCTAACTCTGATCTTTATGGGAACAAAGTAACGTTGACAATGTGGCATCCGCTCATACATGGAACAGGGGAAATCCATTAATTCACTAACAGATGAGAAGCAGAATGTAAGTGACTTCTACGGAGTTTTGGTTACACGCGTTTCATTCAAAGCGTGTCTTTATCCAATAATGTTGTTTTCATAGAGGGTAAGGTGACTTTACACACAGCCGTGTTTTGTTTGGCGTCCTGGGTGATTTTTGAAAGGAAATGAACCGTGGTCGTTTTCAGTTAATACACCATCCGTCTGTCGACATGTTTCCACAGAGCACAATCTTCCACGGTCATTTAATCAAAGCTACGTCAAGTTTGCTTGTTTTTTTAAACTGTGTTTAATTACAACTCTTTCGATGTCACTTACTTGCTACTTAAACGAATATAAAACTTCGGAGGGGTCGGGGCGGGGGTGGAGGGGTGTGTGTGTGTGTTTATCCATCCTCTACTCCGCCGTCATATTGTGTGTTCGTGAATGAAAACATTTTTTTCACACGTCAGAAGGTCGTGGTGAGGGCTTCACTTACCTAGAAATAATGATAAAAACAACAACAGAATAACAAGTACATCAGCAAAAAAAAAAACAATAATTATTATAAAAACATCAATAATAACATTAATAAAAATAAGTTTAACTTATACTTCATGCCTAATCCTATTAATACCGTTCTTATGTGATATATTTCAGGGCGCACAAAACTACAAGACCTACAGGTTTTAAATGTGTTCGATTCACGAATTAATCGACGTAGTAATTAATGAATCAATCCAAATGCATAATATTACTCTTTTTTTGGCAGAGAAATTTTCATGGTCCAATGGTTTCCTCCGTTTAAGACTTTAGTCCACCAGACTACGTTTCAGGAAAGGCTGTATAATAAAAGGAGACAATACTGCTATCTAGTGGTGAAATTGCAACAGAGGGAAAACATAACGTTACATTTATATGACAAAATGATCACTGAGTGTTAAGTATTTATCAGGATGTGAAGTCGTTTAAGCACAAATGGAGTTTACATTGTGCATTTCTTACATTTATTTTCCTGAAATTCATGTGGCTTCAGAGTTCCTGTTAATTTCATCGTTTTGACAAGCAGTTTTGTAATCTGTCGTTTAGACTGTTATATCTATGTGGTTTTGAGAAAATCAAAAACTATGCCTCGGCTATAAACAGCTTTGTTGGTGTGTTGCCTTCAGAAAGATGGATTTAAATCATTTTTTTATTCGACGAATAAAACAATTCCATCGCAGCTTAAATGTTCAGCACAGTGACTCATATTATGGTATGTGCTGTGCTCCAATGTTTGGGCCATTTGTAGAAATTGTATAAAAAGGATTTTTTTTTACGTGTTTGTTGGTTTCGCTGGTGCCGTATTTATAATTCATGACTGGGCTTTTCCCGTTATTCTATTTTTAGAAAGTGGCAAAAGGCAATAATATGACGTCACGAATATCGCGTATAAGCTGCGCTCCCCGCTTCTCTGTCTCTCTCTCTCTCACTCCTCCATATACCTACTTCTACATCAGTATGGCCACCTCAGCTGCCTCATCTATCCGTCCTCACACCACGTGACCCAGCTCTGTCCTTCAGTGCCTCATTCAGCATGATGGCTGCGGATGCTGCGGATGCTCTCTGCAGCATCCTGCATCCGCACCGGCTCTCCATTCTCTTTCTCACCGTCACCCTCTCCTCTTTGCCGGATCCGACCACGGCGCTGCTAGGCGTCCGGCCTGAGGAAACCCAAAGCGGGAAGCTGACGGTGCAGGATGGGGTAATAAGGGCAACCGAGGGCACTCGCTTCATGCTCAGGGTTTACTACTCCACAACTGCAGTAGCGGAGCATCCCAACAGCCCGAACACCACCGGCAGACCTAACACCGCTCCTGCCGCACCGTGGATCGCGTTTATAGAGGAAACAGATGCGGATGGAGTCGAGCCGGAGAGTCGGCTACTGTCAAAGAAGAACCCGTGCGAAGAGGAAACTGCCCGGAGCTCCGACATCGAGCTCCTGGGTTCTTTCAGATCGCCCTCAACTTATAACTCAATTTTGGTGGAGCTGCTCGCTAAAGACCTGCGCAGAGGTGAGGTGATCAAATACTACTCCATGTGCGCCTTCGACGGAGTGAAATGGGAACATTTAAGCACCAAAGACTTTTGGCTGGCCGTGGTGGAGAGACCCCCAGAGGCAGATGTCTGGCTTCAGGCAGGTGTCTCCGTGCTCCTGTTGGCGCTGTCAGCGCTCTGCAGCGGTCTGAACATCAGCATGCTGGCTCTGGACCCCGTGGAGCTCCGGGTCCTGCAGAACAGTGGCACAGAGAAGGAGCAGAAATACGCACGGAAAATAGAGTCCGTGCGTAAACACGGCAACTACATCCTTTGCACCGTGGTGCTGGGCAACGTGTTAACAAACACATGCTTTGTTGTCTGGATGTGCCAGATTCTGGGGATGACTGCCCTCTCAACTGCCTTCTGTACTTTTGGCATTTTCTTTATTGGAGAGATTTTACCTCACAGTGTAGCGTCCAGGCACAGCCTTGCCATCGCCTCCAAGACCCTGTGCGCCACCCGCCTGCTGATGCTGGTGTTTTTCCCCGTGGCCTATCCAGTGTCCAAGATTCTGGATATCATGCTACACCAAGAGATCAGCAGCTTCTACACCAGAGAGAAGTTGGTGGCCATGCTGCGTGTCACAGACCCATACCACGACCTGGTCAAAGAAGAGCTCAACATCATCCAGGGAGCGCTGGAGCTGAGGACCAAGACCGTGGAGGACGTGCTGACCCCACTGACGGACTGCTACATGCTGTCCTCGGACGCCGTGCTGGATTTCTGTACCATGTCGGATGTGATGCAGAGCGGATTTACCAGGATCCCGGTCTACGAGAACGAGCGGTCCAACATCGTTGACCTTCTGTTTGTTAAAGACTTGGCCTTCGTGGACCCAGACGACTGCACGCCTCTGAAAACCATCACTCAGTTTTACAAGCATCCCCTGCACAGCGTGTTCAACGACACCAAGCTGGACGTGATGCTGGAGGAATTTAAGAGAGGTGAGAACCTGTCATGGCACAATCAAAGACACGCAGCAAGATACAGGAAAAAAAGAGAGAAAAGAGTTTTACCTCCTGAGCACTGGAGGTCATCATGCAGTGACACACAGTGGGCGAGCCAATAAAGAACCATATGTTACATCTAAGTGTTGGGAGTGTGGTTCAAGCAGAGGTTAGAGACTACCATGGAGCAGGATCTAAGAGAGTTTTCCAGTAACCTACTTTTTCTAATAATAGCACAATGTATTAGTAACCTACTTTTTCTAATAATAGCACTAATAATAATCTGCCTCAAAATGTATTTTATTTTCCTTTAAATAGACGTATAGATGGACAGAAAGTGTACAGCTACGACAATACAGAAAAATGTTACAGGGCGAGTGAAGCAAAAATATTTTTAGTTCTTTGCATTCCGCTACGACAATACAGAAAAATGTTACAGAGTGGAGCAAAAATATTTTCAGTTCTTTGCACAAAAAGGGTCTTTACATTCAATGCCTTTAGCAGTAACTCATAGGATGCTAACATAGCTATCAATATAAGAAGGAATATTTTTAATAGATTTTTCTTTGGGCATATAAAGTAAACTTTTCCCTCTGTAACTCAAACAACTGATAAATGCTCCGCACCGTGTTACAGCACTCTGCCTCTCTTACATGTGTAGTGATAACATCTGTTCGCTGCTAGGCAAAAGTGAGTTCCCTCTCTGCTGGGATCCAGTCCTGATGACAACACTGACTATGACTGAGAATTGTTGCTCCGTAGCCAGAAACTTGACTGCCCCTGTGTCAACATCAGACTGCGAAACGGAGACAAACTGCACACTAAAGACTGCGCATACTGCTACACTCTTACATAAGGATTTCATTGACATGGGTCTGTGTTAAGGAGATTAAGATATAAATCTGTTTCATTGACAAAGCTAGGGTTGTGTGGATGTCAGACGGAGGCAGCAGATGTCCAGTCAGAGAGTAAAAGGTGAAAAAGGCTCATGAGTTGCATGACAGCTCAATACTCGTCCTAATGCGTTTGTGATGCACAAAGCCAGGCCTGACTGAGTGTTTGCGTCAGTCTGCATTTGTGTTCTATTTAATAATAAATCACGTCTAAAGGTCACGTCAGACATCACCTTTAGATTGCATGAAACTCAACTAGCGGTGACTTTGAAGTTTCTTCGGCTTAGCAGGTCATTGCTAACCAAGCCTGCAGAGCGGCCATAAAATATTCAGCTCCAACCTTTTTCCCTTCCCCTCTTGCTCTCTTCCTGCTTTGCTGTCACGGACTAAAGGCTCCTGCTGTTCAGGAAGCCAGGCGGTGAGCTGTGAGGATGTCTCACTGAGAGGAGTGATGATTAAGGCTGAGGTCTGTGTTTGGAGAAGTGATGGAAATGTCATCAGTAATGTATGACGACAAAGAGATGACTGCTGCACAGGGGGGAAGTTGCACATGTCAGGGTCTGCCCTTTAATTTATGAGCTGTGCACAAGAAAAATGAGGAACAGAACGGCTGGGTGAATGAGGAGAGCGATGAATTTCATGGCCGATGTGTTGCAAAGACACAACAGCAAACGTTCGAAAGTTTCTCTGTGTGGGATTCCAACCTTTAAAAGTTAAGAAAACAAGAGTGTGAGCTGCTATTATGTTTGGTTAACAGACAAAAGCAGTGTCTATAAGACAACAGGCTGAGTTGGAGAGAGTAGAGATGAAGTTGCAGAAACTTTGTGATGTGACCCAGAATGGAGGAATGCGAATAAACATACAACATCAGAGAGACAGAAAGGGTTTAGGACACGAAAACATGTGCAGAGAACACAATAATGTGTACATTTGCAGAAGGCTCTTGAAAATAGAGCTGCCATGTAAGGTAAGATAAATAAATAAATTCAATTGAATGAGATGCTGCATTCTGCAAATGCATAAAAAAAGCAATGTTTTATAATTATAAACAGCATACAACACAAGCTCTAAACCACAATCAGCACTAATGTTGACTAAAAACGACCCTCTCTCATTATGGCTCCATTGAAGAACAAGGAAACAAGTGCTGCAGAGATACAGCTATATTAACAATGCATGAACGAATACATCCAATGTCTGCAGCGAGCTGCATAGAAAACATCAACTATGAACATGTTAAATGTTAAATGCAGTGCACATGATATGACACTGAACAGACCAATGATTTTAGCCGAGAAGAGAAGCCTGACAAAATTGCAAAGCAAAGAAATGCGAAAAGGGAGTTCCAGGACAGACCCCATTACCCTCGGGTATGTTGGTCTGTCAAGTGTGTGTGTGTGTGTGTGTGTGTGTGTGTGTGTGCTCTTCTGCATGACTATTATGTAAGATACAAATGATGTAACGCTCTACCAGGACACATCGACAGTTGAATACATCAACCTCTGACTCACCTGCGTAAATTAATGAATGAGATTCATCTAGCCATCATAGCTAACAATACCTGCGTAAATTAATGAATGAGATTCACCTACCCATCAGAGCTAACAGCACACAGCTGAAGTCTTATACGTAGAAACAGCCGCCCCTCAGTCTACTGCTGATTATTAAAGCAACCCATTAGGATTCATCTGTGGACCATGATCCTGGGCTAATCTACCCACTTCTATCATCCAGATCATGTTTGAATTGGGACTGTTTTTTTTTCTACTGCTCAAATCTGTGCTTCCTGTGACATCACAGCAGCATGTACTGCCCATTACTGTCAAACAAAGATCTGCTTTGACAGGTCCAGTAGTTGGAGTTCTTGTTTTCTGGAGATACCCGATACACACAGTTGGTTTTTCCTGTCACAGCTTTTTTTATCGACTCGTTCCAGAGTGGCTGCTGTGTCATTGTGTTTGGCAGGCTTGTCGTGTTCCAGTCAAAAAGAACCCAAGTTCTTGGCACTGCAGTCTGCTTATGATCATGTAAAGTCTGTATACAAACTTGTGTGTGTGTGTGTGTCTTTGTGAAGTCTGTGTTCAGATTGTGGGCTCGTAGGAGCAGAAGAAGCAGCAGCAGGAGCAGTGGAGTCAGCAGATGCAAAATCCTCAGACACATTGTGTAATCTCACAGTTTATATAACAGGCCGATACTTTCAAACTGTCAAAGTGCAGAGTAGTCATCAGTTCTTCTTAACTGAGTCAGACTCACACAAGAGTCAGTCCTGGCGTAGACAATACTTTTAAATACAATCCCTGGATCTCTGCACTCTCAGAGTCTGTCAAACTCTCCCTGTCTCTGAATGTGTAGACACTCATTGATTTTTCATTGTTTGATAAATGCAGGCAAATCCCACCTGGCTGTGGTGCAGAGGGTGAACAGCGAGGGGGAGGGAGACCCTTACTACGAGATGATGGGCATCATCACCCTGGAGGACGTCATAGAAGAAATCATCAAGTCTGAGATCGTGGATGAGACAGACCTGTTCAGTAAGTATTGACACGATAGAGTGAGCAGCTTTTCAAACATATTTCCCCCCCACACACGAGGCACACAGTCAGCTGTGAATCCACTTAATTACAGTCACAGCTCAGGGAAAAGATTATAACTCTGTCTGTCTGTCACAGCAGATCACAGATTCTCTAAAACGTTCTGAAAACATTTTGTAGAAGCTGAGGAGGTTAATTACTCTAATAACTTTTTAGTTAACTGTTAAGTTTTTTCACTTAACCTTAACGCCTCGGCTCCACTCCTCTCACATGTTTAATTATATAATCTAAATGAATGTCTTTGTGTCACAGATAATCTCCTTAATCCCTTCATCTTTAATTGGCTGGATCGTCTCTCCATGGAGAGGGACTCCCACGCCAAGCACCTTGCGTTTCATGCCATGGTTTTTTTTTTGCACTTCTCTTTGTTAAATTCAAATATTTTCATTTTTCATGACACATTTAGTGGAAGACTCATGCGCACACTGCCATATGTGAAGCAGGATTTGCCATTGGTGCGCTCGTGTGGGTGTTGAAACCCTGACTTTTTTTTCTGCATGTCTTGATGTGTATTATTATGTGTGCATGTCTGTGTGTGTGTGTGTGTGCAAATATATATTTAGCACAGCGTAGCTAATCTCTCCAGACTATGCACTGCAGGCATTTAAAGCACCAGCTGTTCCCATTGCAGCTATGATGTATTTAATACAATGTAATTCAGCATTAGGGACCACATCATGAAAAAAATAGTAATCTCAGAAGAGAAAAATAATTAGCATATATTCAAATACTGCTTGAATCTTGGAAAGACGTCACAAAGCAGTTTACAAACAGAAATACTCTTCCTCTCCTGCAGGTGGTGCTCAAATTAAAGCATGTCTGTACCAGTGGTCAGCTACAGTGACGGGGCTGGTGTAGTGCAGAGCAGAGGGCCGTACACCCCCACAACTCAACAAATGCAACCTACTTATAAACATAAATGAAGAAAATGAATCCTCAAAACTACATCCTAGGATACAAAACCGTTTTTATCCAAACTACTTTTACTAACCACACTGCAGTACTGTGTCTACTACTCGAGAAAAAGCAATCACACAAGAGTGCTAATGCTAATCCCTGTGAATGAAAAGAGAAAAGTGGCATCAAGCCAATGTAGTTTGAAACTAAAACCATCATTTAAAAAAACATCCATCCACTCGTCTAGAAACAGTGTAGTATGTACAGTACATGTGCATGTACAATGTGAGATCTGCAGTCTTTGCTGTGTTCATAACTGATTTCCATCTGTTTGTGCTCATAGCTGATAATCGCACGAAAAGGCGAGTGTCCAACCACGAGAGGAAGCAACAGGACTTTTCTGTCTTCAAACCAGGAGAGAATGAACTGAGAGTTAAAGTTTCACCTCAGCTGCTGCTCGGAACTCTCCGCTTCTTAGCTACATGTGCTACGTACGTGTGTGTGTGTGTGTGTGTATGCAGAAACCTTTAACATGTTAACTGCAGGGTTAAACATTGTTAAAGATGTGACAGGCAATTTCACATATCCTTCCTCTGGCTTTTGTTATGACGTGTGTGTGTGTGTGTGTGTGGTCCCCGTCTGTCTGGATTGTTCCTCGTTGAAGAGGTGGAGCCCTTCAGGCCGTGTCACCTGTCAGAGAAGATCTTGCTTCGTCTCATTAAGCACCCCAGTGTCGTGCAGGAGCTCAAGTTCAACCCCAAGAACAAACACGCTTCTCAACACTACCTCTTCCTGAGAAACAAACCCGTCGACTACTTTGTCCTCATCCTGCAGGTAAAGGTCGGGATAAATAAAGGAACAGTCTCTGCATTTGGTTTGGTAGAGTTTCTTCGCAGTGAAAAGCTGCAGGAAATGACTAATACATTCACCAGTGACAGTGAGTCCAGACCTTGAGCCTGAAGTGACTGTGTGGATGTTGCAGGGCCGTGTGGAGGTGGAGATCGGTAAAGAGGCTCTCCGCTTTGAAAATGGAGCATTTTCCTATTATGGCATGCCAGCACTTCTGCACACTGGTGAGTAAACACTTCATTAATATGACAGTGACAATAACAACACAGAGCAACAACGGTTAAAAAAAAGAAATCTTATAAAACTGATGCTGTTCATCCCAGCTAGTACAGTGTATAGAGAGCTGGAGAATGCGAGGGAGGCAGCAATAAAAGCCGTGAGAAGAAAGTAATTAAAAGAAGAGATTTCAGAGTATTTCCCAGTGGAAGGACATGACCTGCACAGGATTATCAGAAATCCAGCTAAGACTGCGGTGCAAGCAAAAAGTCTTTCACTCATCTCCGCCTGCCTCTCTCTCTCTCTTTCTCATTATGCATGTGTGACTTTAAGGATCAGCTTGATTCTAACAACACTACTGTGGCAGAATACAGAGTTCCTTCCAAGTGTATCCAATAGCAGAAATACTGTTCCATCTGAACTGATAGGTTTTTTTCTACTGCTTCTTATCCTTGTATAAAACAGGTGAATGGAAAAGACTCCGACGTCTTACAGTATATTAGGCCTCATCTATGTACTGTGTACTATTTTTTTTTGTGATATTTCCGACGTCTTACAGTATATTAGGCCTCAACTATGTACTGTGTACTATTTTTACAAAGACTTTACAAAACACAATTCTAGTGTGATATATATTTTTTTCTTCCTCTCCAGGTCGCAGGTACAGTTCCCGCAGCAGTGGCCTAAACCAGTCAGACTCATTACTAAGCGGAGGCAGCATGGGTCAACTCACTACAGGAGGAGGGAACTATTTACCAGACTACTCTGTTCGACAGATCACGGATCTGCAGATCATCAAGGTCACAATCATATCTGTGCCATAAACATAAGGAAATAAAACATCATATTACAGCACAGTAATTACACCTCAATTAAATGTGTAATTTCCTGCAAACTGGAGTTAAACGAAACAAACAAAAAAAGGTCCCCAAACAACTTCATTGCCATTTCCCACAAATTATCCTACAAAACGCAACTCCCTAAAATACAAACTCTTCCTCTGCGGCCTTTGAAATGTCTCCATCCCTGAGTGTGACTGAACACAGACATCCTGTCCTCCATTCACCCCTTGTTCCTTTAATCACCAGGGATAATTGTGCTCCACTTCAACCATGAATATTTCTGTGTGAAATGACAGATGTGCCCCTGTACTTCACCTCTCTCCAAAAGAATCCATGCTTTTTCCTGTCCGCAGGCAGTGTGATTATCTCCAGTAGGCACCGCAGGAGCCGTCCTCGTGCTGACTCCAAACTCTCCATGTTCTCACAGATCACCAGGAACCACTACCAGAACGCACTCACGGCCACCAAGATGGACAGCTCCCCTCAGACACCTGAAGCGGTGGATCCCGATGCCAAGAGAAGGTCTGCTGTCCCGGAGGCTCGATCCAACAGCATTGCCCTCCCGCTCACCCACGCGCACACCCGTCTTGGGCTGGCACGTCTCGCACATCTCCATCCCCTGAGTGGCCTTCGCAGCACCTGCAAGCTCAATGAAAGGAACAGAATCGTTCGTAAGTGAAGAAGTTTAGAAGTGATTTTATGAACATGGTGTTTTTAAATGGAGGTAATCACAAAATATTGTCTGTCAACAGACAATATTTTCATTACAAATGTAATCTTATCTCAAGTTTCTGTGGAAAAACCAAAAACCAAAATTCAAAACCAAATTTAAAATTATATTTATTTTTTTCTGAAATTACCTCAAGTCTAATAATCAGCTGATCATTGCATTTTCAGATTTCTGCTTTATTTACAACACCAGTCTGTAATGAATCTGAACACCAAAAATGAGCCACTTGGACCAAACAGGTGCAAACACACTATTAACCAATCTGTGCTGGCTTCTCTTCTCAAATGATTACCAACGTACCATCTGTGCTACACTTTGGACAAATCTCCACCCAGCCTGTTGATGTTTGTGCTGGTAGCATTTGAAAAAAAATGGACAGATGGTTCTATTGGTAAATATCAGTCAGAGGAGTTTAGCTCCATGGTCTCAGGGTAAATGTTTAGTCACAGCACCACAGATTTAACACAGAAAACCCTCTCCAGTACTGGATTTACATTCATTGCAGGTTTAACCTACATTGCTGCTATAGGTGGAGCTACAGATAAGCTGCTGCTGTTTGGCTTACCTGGTAGTTGCTTGTAGCTGATTGCTGTCACTCTCTGCACACAGGCAGTAAATCTGATGGACAGAGGAGTCCAAATGACACCGTGTTCCTCCGCATGGACGAGATTCCCTATATCTGTGAGGACAGACCGGAAGGTTTTAGAGAAAATGGTGAGAGATGCTGCAAGCACACTGATCAATACTGATCTACCTCTGAAAGTGTACTCACATTTGCTCCAACATGCTCACAGTGTTCACAGCTGTAGTAAATTATCTGAATAACTGTGAATAATCGGCAGCTATCCTGCGATTTATCAGACAATTATCATTTCTCACATCACAAATATAATGCTATGCGTTTGACTGCAGCTGCTCTGTTTATTATGCTGATGCTATTTTTGGTTCAATCCCTTCTACGTATCGCTTCCATGTCTCTTTCAAATGTTCCTGCAGAGTCTCCACCGTCCTCCCCCCCCGTCATCAGCTCCCTGTCTCTGTCCAGCTCGGAGGAAAACTTTGGGAAGAAGCTGCTGCATAAATTGAGTGAGTGGGATATTTGTCACCGCGGTGACACAACAGCTCGCCCCCTCACTTAGTCAGACCTGCACAAAACTTTTCTGTCTGCGTAGCAACAGTGGCCCAGTGTTTCTTAGTAACAGGTGACAGGCTGTTTCTACTTGCCCCCAGAGCAGACGATCGTCCAGATGCACTTGTTTTTGTTATCTTCGATTTTCTATGACTAATTATTCTGATGTATTCATGTGAAGCAGACGCCGTGCTGTAAAAGTAACACTGACCTTATTTTACATGTAGTTTTCAAATCACCAGTTTGTTTAATTTTTTTTTCCTTTCTCCAGTTTTTAGGCCGACTGTTTTATGATGTGACCTAATTCTGAGCACGTGTCTCTCTGTTTCTAGGTAACAAGAGAAGGAAAAAGACGCAGGATGGAGAAAATAGTTTAGAAGGAGGCTCAGAGAAAGCCTCACTGACGAGCTAGCACACAGGCACGGAGGGGGGAGGATGCAGCATCCGCCTTCAACGACCTCATCAGCATCAGCATCAGCATCAGCCATCCCGACTAAATAACCCCTCCTCCACAGAGTCCCTTCCTTTCTCCCTGCAGTTCCATTACTCCCAGGAGATGGAGCCGTCATACCTGCTGTAGTCAGAAAATACTTCTCAGGTTCCCAAAGGACACACTCTCTCCAGCCTCTGCCTCACATCTCGCCTTTAAAAATCACAGCACAGACCATTCTGAGGAACATTGTTCTAGGAACAGTCCAGCCGTTCAGTGGACTGTTCACTAATGAGTTAAAATAGAGTCAGTCTTAAGTTCTAATGGTACTAAACCCTACCTAGGCCATGTGGACGTTATTTAAACCACAGGGTTGTTGATAAGTTAAAGGGTGAATTAGAACCTTTTCATTATTTTTAAAAATTTGATAAAAAAAAAACAAACAAAAACAAGTTCATGTACATGGCCAGCAATACTGTAGTTAGTTGTGCTGTGCGAAAGACAGATGGGTTCAAGGTGGGGTTTGGTAGAGAATATATGGACCTGCTCTGACATTGTACTTGAACAGTTTGTATTCCCAGTTGCTGAGGATTTGTTACTTTGGGGTACTTCCTAATTATTGGAAATATTTGCACAGAAATAACTGGCTTTCAACAGATACTCAGCTTAATAAACAAGCACAACTCTGCCCCTTAAACAAACAAAAATAATCTTTTTAGAAAAAAAAAGGCCATGGTGTGACTTACTGTCATCTTTGATGACATGTTGTAATGTAAAAAAAAGCCTTTTTTTTTTTTACATATATCAGGGTAAAATTTGACAAAGATGGCAATATATAGTATATATGAATTATCTTATATACTGTAACTGACTTGAATACATCACTGCACCAGCACAAAGTGCATACGCAAAGTCCAGACTGGAACACAACAGGGCCAAGACAAAAATAACCAAGACCAGGTATCTGCAGTTCTGAAGAAAGAGGGGGAGGAGGGAAGGGGGGGTGAACATAAAGGAACAGGAGGGAGACACAGAAGAGACAAAGACAAAGGACTGGGTGAGTGAGGACAGGAACCACATGGGAGGCAGGAATAATTGGACACAGATGAGAAACCCAAAATTTGGGGCAGACAATCACATAAAGAACCAGGAAAAAGACTCATATAAATACTCCATTCAGCAGAGTTCAGGTTCACCACCACACTCAAAACGTTTTCACACATTTTCTACCCATCTTTGTCATCTTTTAACATTTTTTGGGGCGAGAAGATCTGTATTTTTAAAGAATTATCACCTGGATGTTTATTCATAACTTGTACTTACAAACTTTCATATTTATTAGTCATAGCAAAGAGACTTACTTTAAAAACGTCTTAGTTTTCGTCACGTTTTAAATCGTTGTGCCGTTAGTTTGTTAGTTCAAGTCCAACGGAGATTTTCTTCATTGTGTGCTACATCTAAATAAGCTATGGGTTTTTTGGGAGGGCGGAGGGGTCTTCATTAGTATTAATTGGTAGTCACAAAGACGTTATGTGCATGTTGATAACAATTTGAAAAAAACAAACTATTAATTGGTAGTCACAAAGACGTTATTTGCATGTTGATAACAATTTGAAAAAACAATGCTGCTATTTAAGGTGTTTTTAAAGAGAGGATTTTCATTAGCTCTAATAACTAGCTAATACAGGGACACTCTAAGCCATTGAAACAATTAAATTGCAATAACAGATTTATTGAACTTTTTTACAGTGAAATAATATAAATATTTATGACGTTAATTTCTATGTACACGGTGAAAGGAGTCATTTAAATAGTCTGTCCTAACAGTATAGTGGTGTGACGTTTGAACGACACAGTAACGTTCAGTTGAAAATGGTGCCCTCTTGTGGCCATAGATGAAATAGGATATATTTTTGATAAATCGCTTTGAATAGAAGAAGGCAGGGTCCGCCGAAATACTGGAAAAAAAGAGCGACTTAGAGTCCAGAAAATGCGACACCTACTAGGTTTAGGGGTTGGGGGTATTAAATGCTCGGGAATAGGGTGAGAACTAATGGGTATTCCAAAAGAAATAATATTACTTGCATGTTTATATATTCTAAGGTTAGAAGCGCCTGCTTTGCAAATATTTATTACACGCATGTCTAAAAGAAACAAACAAACATGACAGGTGCAGCGTGACTTTAACCTTATTGTACACTTTGAAAGAAAAATATTCTACAATAAAAAAACCAAGGCTGCTACTTGTGTGTGTTTTTAAGTAATTAAATACAAATGATCAGGTTACGAAGAACGGGGGGGGAGGGGGGAACACAGGGGAAGAATGAAGCCATTTGTTGGACTTTCTTTAAAAATAAAATAATATAAATCTTTGTGACATTAGTATATAAGCACGAGCTAAAAGGAGCCTTTTCTGCGTTGTGAAACCTTGGCAGGTGTGGGGGAGGAAACGCAATATGACGCACGGTGACGTCAAGACACCGCCTTAGTACAAATACACTAACACAAACACTAAAAAACAGAAACTAGGTTGTGTTTGAGGAGTTATTTGTACTGACCTCCGTCTGTATACACAGAACACAAACACACACAATGGTCTTTGAACTCAAAAAGAACTGGTACGAATTAAACATTGTGATGTTGGTTTACACTGGTTTCTACACCTGTGAGCTCTGGTTTCATGTTTGTTCTATGTGATCAAGAAAAGTCCTGTTTTATTATGAAGAAATGAGTTGAAATGCTGCACGTGCAAAGACCAGACGTCACACAAACCTGTCACAAGTTAAACTGCTGGTGGAGGAATAAAATGTTTATAGTCTAACTTTGTAAGTCCCACAGTGATATCCTGACACCCACCACAAAGTCAACAGATCATTTCTGTAATTATTAATAAATTGTCTCAATTCTAATTGTCTTCCACACTGTTTCTACAGTTATTTTACAAACGTATTCCTGTTTCTGTGTAAAGGTCAGAGCAATTACACATACAGTATCTATGAATCTAGTCAATAATACACATGTACTATTTGCGTAGATATTTAATAGAGCAGTATGTCCATTTAAATAGCCTGACAGGGAATTCCAGCTGTTTCATTGGCTATCATTTGGACTACAGCGGTTCATTATTACCTGCAGTACATCTGTGTCATTGATTCCAGACTGGAGATGAACACTGAGCAGAGTTGTGTTAAATACTGAACATGAGTGAGGACAAATTTACTACAACCTGAGTAGAAGTCAGAAGTTGGTATTTTAAATAAATAACAACATTTAAAACTTTTATCCTGAGAGCAGTCGTCACTGGTTGATATTTTATTCTAACACCAAAAAAAACAAAACAAAAAAACGTTTGTTCCAGTTCAGCTGTGATGTTCACGCAGCTGAATTCAAATAGGAATGTGAAACAGAATGAGGATGAAACATAAAGCCGATCCAGATCCAGATGTTCAGTAGGAACCCGGTGGTAGAACATGGGAATGAGAGACGCAGCAGATATGTGACCACCAATGTTGTGCAAGCAGAAGAAGAAAGTGTGACCACAGTGAGTTGAAGGTAAACTTCCCGTGCTGTGAAAATTCTCTTACTGGGACTGGAATTATGAGACATCTTTGTTGTGTCCGAGGAGAAGGAGTCGACAGTTGTGCACGTGATCGCTCCGAGACTTCAGATGGATACAAACTCTGGAATGCCCGGATTCAGGATGGCTCAGGACCATGCAAGTAGCAATGAGGTGGATTGTGGGTAACAGGGTCTTCTACTGGACCTTGGTGATGGCCTCATGGATGGACTCAGCCACGTAGCTGATGTTTTTGGAGGTCAAACCACACATGTTGATGCGACCGCTGGCCATCAGGTAGACGTGTTTCTGCTGCACCATGTATTGAACCTGTTTGGCTGCAGGACAGAAAACAGACAGAAGAAGATTCATCTCTGTGTCCATCACCAAGACCTTTTTTTATGATTATTTTCCACATTTTCTCAATGACTGGAAAATGGGTTCACTTTCCAGGCTTTTCCAGAAAATAATAAAAAAATAAAATCAGAAGAGGAGGGTAAGTGTATCAAGTGAGAGGTTCTGTAATAGTTTGGGGCTGTATTTTAGAGAGCGGGCGGATGACCGTTTGACTGTACTCACGGTTTAGTCCAGTGAAACTGAACATCCCGATCTGCTCTGTGATGTGGTCCCAGGTCCCTGGTGTGCCCAGAGCTTGGAGCTTGGCCTTCAGCTGGGCCCTCATCAACAGGACCCTGTCAGCCATGGTCTTCACGTTGTCCTTCCTGCAGTGGAAACACACAGTGAAGACCAGTGGTCATTTCTGACAGACGTCACTGTCATCAGTGCGTTCACTGTTATTATCAATTATATATTCAGTGCTGACCATTCGCTGAAGAGCTCCGGTGAATTAAGAGTGACGGCAACGATGCGAGCCCCCTGAGAGGGTGGGTTGGACCACGTGGTCCTGACAATCTTCTCCATCTGGGACAGAACTCGCTTCAGGTTCTCTGCATCACGGGCCACAATGGTCAGGTTTCCCACACGTTCATCTGAGGAGACAAACACAAAACAGATTTTATTACAGTATAAAATGAAAACACCTTTCCTGTAGAGTCAGCATCCAGCAGCAGTGAAAATAAGGTCAGAGAAACACTGCAGCTGTGCTGCTGCCCCCTCTGGTCGATAGGTGTCACTGAGGTAAATGTGAGTCCAAGATTTTTAGCTTGAATGTTAATCCTCCTCCTACAAGTCGGTTTGGATAAATATTACAATATTTACATTTATAAATATTTACATTACATGAATGTAATGTAAATGACAAGAGAAGGGACCAGCTACCAATGACTCGACAGCTCCCCCCTCTGGACAACAAGCAAATGGCTGTTTTGCATGGAATAATATAGTAAAAATATTTCACGGATCAGACATTTCCCCATTCTTCTTTATTCTCTATTTAGGCCTGACATAAACTAAAATATACTCTAAATATATATATAAATTCTCAAGATATACCCCTCTTTCTTGCAGTCTACCTGTAGTTACACCTTGCATATAAAGTGCAGCGTGAGTGTCACTGAAACTGAAACATAACAGAAGGCTCGGCTGAATTAAAATGTATAAGGTAATGTACAACAGAGTTGGGTGAAGGAATACTGACTGTAGAGGCCAAAGTTCTTGGAGAACGACTGAGCGCAGAACATTTCAAAGCCCAGGGAGACAAAGTAGCGAACGGCCCAAGCGTCTTTGTCCAGGCTGCCTGAGGCGAAGCCCTGATAGGCTGAGTCGAAGAACGCAAACAGCTTCCTTCTCTGGGAAAAGCAAACAGTGAAAGATCCAGGAGTCTGAACCATTGACAACTGACACAGAGACAGGACAACAGACACAATACCATCATGACTTCAGCGATCTGCTTCCACTGCTCCTGTGTGGGGTCTGTGCCGGTGGGGTTATGGGCACAGGCATGGAGCACGAAGACGGAACCTTCTGGACAACTCTGCAGGAACCAGATGAAGAGGAAGAGACACTCTGAAAAACTACCAACAATTTAAACCTGTGGCAGAATTCTGACGAGTTTTTACCTCCAGGTCGCCAAGAAACCCAGCCAGGTCCAGACCTCTGTTGGCTGCGTCCCAGTACTTGTAGGGACGAACTTCTTCAAAACCAGCGTTGGAGAAAACAGCGTTGTGATTTTCTGAAATAAAAAAAGTGTTTCATTAAAGACTGGTTTCTGCTACAGACTCCTGTAGTGACACCTAACACCCAAAGATGGAACTCCTTGAATTACCCCAGGTGGGCGCCGACACGTAGACAGGTGTTTTGGTGTTGTTGTGTCCGTTGTAGAAACGCCTGAGGAACTCAGCGCCCATCTTCAAGGCACCAGTGCCGCCCAGACACTGCACAGCTCCCACCTGTAAATAAGTCAAAGGTTCTGGTCTGAGCAGAGGTCAATTTTTCAAGTTTGCCCAAACAGCCGTTTTCACACACCCTGTTCTGCTGGATGGCAGGACTGTCGTCTCCCAGTGCGATCTTGGAGGCTGCAGACCTGAACTCAGGCAGACCCAGGATGGGCAGGTACTCGTGGTTCAGTTTTTCATCTTGCACGATGATCTTCTCCACTTTCTTCACCACGGGCAGAACCCAGGGCCGGCCTTCATCTGTCCTGTAGGCTGCAGGGGAACACTGTCTACGTCAAGATATGAAAACTGATCCAGATATGAAACATTGCAGCATGATATGGTTGGAACATTTTGTTTGAGCACCATGAAGAGGTGCAACAAGAATGGGCAAATATTCCAAAACTAATGTTCATCCTCAGTTTCCTCATGATGAAAAAACTGTCATTAAAACAATAAAAATATATATCTTGTTTAAATTAGACATGTACCAACTTTTCTGGAGATGGACTTCACTCTTTTTCTCAATGGCAGATCGCTGTATCTCACATGGGTCATGTGTCATACAGCAATACTACGATTTAATCAGCTGAACTTTCTGTCACCGTGCGATTAGAACAGACATAACAACCTTTAAACTCCGCTAAATTACTTTACAGCCCACTGACGAGTGTCTGGCTAAATATAACCTGCACAGTGATAATGTGATGCCACTGCAGAGAATAAACCAGCCTGTATGACAATAACAACGTTGGTTTGCAAGAAGAAAAATAATCTGACCTACTTTATCCTGTAATAAAGGATCTCCCTTTATTACAAATCTTTTTACACATTATACATCATGTATTGTTTTCTAATTAAACACATAATCAATCCATGTAAACAAGACAATACCATGTGATCCAGTTCATGTTGCACAGAACTTGTAATGATATTTTGAGCAAGTTTGAGGTAAAAAAAAAAAACCCACAGTTCCAGTGACAGACTGGATTGGATCCGTAACCCCTGCAATTCTTCCACGTAAAACTGTTGGCCTATATTACCCAGCTGCCCCGGGGCTGCTGATCATTGGTGGTATGACTGTAGCAGAGAGAAGTGGATTAAAGCAGTGACCCTCAGCTGACCATAAGGTCAGCAGATCATCTGGTCGGTCAAGCCACACGCCTGCAGCTTACACTGTAGTCCCTGTGTGATATATTCAGCACGGCTGACTATTTCTGAAAGGAGCAGCAAATAGAGGGTTAAGAAAAATGAAGTTGGACTTTTTACACACTTTGGGACAAATGCTCAGCCACATATGTTAAATCTCCTGGTTCTCACAGCAGTAATCCAATCAACTCTCTGCAGAGAAGGTGAGCGTACAGAGTTCGAGCAAAAGGGAAAACCAGTAAGAACTGGAACAGATAGACTATCACAGGGCTGTTTGTGCCAGTGTTACATAACAACACCAGGGTTTACTGTAAACAACATTTTATTGACTCTGTCTTAACAGAGGCTGGAATTACACTATACATGGTTCTACACATGGTGCTACACATGGTTCTACACATGGTTCTACACATGGTTCTACACATGGTTTTTCAGTGTCTCTGAAATAGAAACCGATAGGTGTAAAGTTACCTGCATTCACTAAAAATACAACACATTAAATTAACAGTGAGTCGATGATTATTTCCTGGATTCATCTTGGTTATTACCCATTAAAGATATGAACAGGATGACATGAACGAAACATTTTACTACAACCTTAAACACACCAGCAAAGTATTAGGTTAAAGAAATATTTTGTCAAAAATAAAAAAAATGGATTACTTTTGTTATTTGACCATAACTGTGGCCGAGAAATTATAAAATGTAGGGTTTTTTTAAATATTTTTTTTTAAAGAAATATTTTGTCAAAAATAAAAAATATTGATTACTTTTTGTTATTTGACCATAACTGTGGTTGAGAAATTATAAAATGTAGGGTTTTAAAAATTTTTTCATTATTTATTTTAGTCAAGAGAGAATTGGAATTCTAACTTTTAGAATTGACATCCGGAGTCAGGATTACTTTTAATTTTTCAAAAAAAAAAATCTATTTTTACTCGGATATTTAGCCAAATGACATTACAGTTGCACGTTAATTAAATTTAATTAAAATTTTAAAAAAATGTCCTATTCACCATTTCGACCCTTTAAGAATTTCAAAATAGAATAGGAAGGAATTCTAATGGGTTCTCCACAAAGAACTGAAGAAGTGTTGTATGACAATGTATAATTGTATGACAGAAAGGTCACGACTATGGTCTTGCTCTCGATTTGATTTAAAAATCCGGTTCATTTGTGGCTAACCCGTCTGCTGATGTCGGACTTCAGATGCAGCTCATCACTTATTCAGGTTCAGCAGCTCAGTTTCTCAGCCTCCATGGCTGCAGAGAGGTTTGAAAACACTCGTTCATCTCACCTCCTACTCCCAGGTTCACCTTGTTGGGACACTGGTCGTTGTTAAAGTCCTGCGTCAGCTTAAAGACGGCGACAGGAGCGGCCTGTGGAACCTCAGCAAACACCGACATGGCTGTGGTTAAAGAGAAGAGCAGAGGCGAAGAGAACCGCTACCAGTGTCAGCTTACAGAGTGACAGGATGATTTCCCACCTTCTAATATTATATGAGGACCGCACAAAATGGGCGTGAGCAGATGAACCAATTGAAATGTAAAGCTCTCCGACGGACCAATAGCTGCAGCGATTCAGGTTCGGTGAAAGTCCAAGGCAACACGCGCACAATCGTTTGACCAATTAACATGAGTGTCACTGGATCACAGGAAACGTCAGGGCACCGGAAGTTAGTAGTTCCTGGATGTTGTTGCAATGAAAATGTTTGCCACTAGATGGTGCCACATCCTCGCTATAAATGTTGCCAGACACGCAGAGCCCAACGTTTAGCTTTTAATGTTTGATGATATATATTTATCGAAACACTGAATGGTCAGCTCTTTTCTGTAATATTGAACTCGTTTATTTATTTAGTGCGAGATATTTAGCTATTTAAACAAAGCAATGTTTACGTAAAATTCGGTCATATCCGATACAAAAAGAAAGTCATAAAACATTTCTTTTGCAAAATTTGCTCTCAGATCCAAAGCAGATCCCAGATCAGCAATTTGTACCACAGTGGATTTCATTTGCAGTCATTGCAGTAAACGTCCACATCTATATATAAAAAATATCACTTTGACCCTTCACTCAAACATGCAGACATTTTTAAATTTGGCTTCATCCTCCCAAATCTGTCCTTCGAGCGGCAGAATAAACATTCATCTTCAACTGCTGTCAACAGAAGCAGAAGTAGATGATAAATGAAGGCCACTTCAACCTGCTCCTTTATCCACCACCAGCAGTTGATACAAAGCATTGCAGCCAAACAGGAGCGAGAGGCAGGGAGAAATTCGACTTTTCACTTGTCCTGCATTAAATCCTGGAATATCCAACAACATCCTCACTTCAATTAGAGTCCTTCAATTGCCAGCACAGATGCAAATTCAAGACAAAAAAAAACCCGCTTTAAAAATCACACATATGGGAATGCATTATTAGAAAATCGTATAATACATTAACAGCTTATTTAAACGTTATACATTTATAATCAAACAAATATTTTCTACTTGTAAACCTGCAGTCCTTCAGCTCATTCCTCAGATGCACAAACCAAGAATCAACCTGTTATTAGTACATCACTCACGACCTGTAATCCTGTAAAAAGTGAGTATAATACAGTTAATCCCAACAGCCTCTATTATAAAACACTAAGTTTCTATTTTCCCCTGAGTTATGTTCTGGATCTTACTCACTTTCTCCGTCACCTGCACCACCCCCACTCTCATCTCCTCCCTTCACGTTGACAGTCGATGTTTTCATTCTTTCCGCCCAGGTGAGGGCTTCTTGTATGTTAGCTATAACTGTCAGCCCTGCAATTATAGGATTTGAACAAAGCCCCTGGGGCCCAGAGTAGGGCTTTTGGTCTGTGTATATATATGTATTTACACACACACACACACATACAGATATAGTGGATGCTCCGGGGCCACTGTCTGGACTCTGAAGTGTGAGTCAGAGCAGCCAGTGACAGAAGTGGCTTCTGGCAGGACAGCGCCCAGAGGCAGAGTGTGTCACCTGGAGATGAATGCATTACTCACTCCACCATTCACAAGAGCCTCATCTTTATTTCCATGACATTGACAGGTGGAATATTTATTTTGGCATGGCCCAGCATATTGCAGGTAGGGCAGAAAAAAAAAAGAGAGAGAGAGAGAGAGTCGCACCAACAACACTGCCTTTTTGGTGTGTTTTGGTTTTGTTACAGGCTGGTTATCAGTGCTGCTGCTGCTGCTGCTGCTGCAGGATGCTGTCACCGAGACACACAAAGGCACACATTCAGGCACAAGACACAGTCACATTCCAGCTGTGGTATCACAGAAACGCAAACAGGAGCGTGTGCTAGCACACACACAAACACACACTGCAACACATTCCAGGCTTGATGTCACAGCGTAGCTCACATGTTGCCGTGGCCTCTCTGTCTCTGGGTCAGAGAGCAGTGGTGAGTGACCACCTTTTTAGCTTCCCGCCGTGTTTGTTTTCCAAAGACAGTGTCATCAATTCTCTAACAAGCGACTAGACACAGCAACAACACCCGGCACAGGACCTCCCTGTTGCTCCTGTGTAGTCCCAGGACTGATGGAGCATGCATGTAGATAACAGACATCAGCGCTCCGTCCGTTTGTCTACATTCCACCGTGGGGATTCATCCTCGTACGTCTGCGCAGGTTTGTATGTGCACTGATGACAAAACAGACAGATTTGTCCTTTTTCTTTTCTTTTCTGAGAGTTAAATCACAGCAATATTGCCTGTAGTAGTCAAATGAAACAATTTCTGAATTTCTGAATGTGCAAATAGAGTAAACAAATGTCTCAGATCTGAGGACAATCTTGACACTGACACAAACTGTTTAGTCAAAGACCAGGAATGTAAAGCTGATCAGGACTGTGATGAAACCTGCATGACAGACATCAATACGTCAGGACCAGTCATTTCTATAGGAAAATTTGCTCATAAAATTTACCTGCTTTTGTCTTTTAACACATATGATACATAGTGGACATTTGTAAAGTGAAGCATTGGAAGGAGTCAAAACTTCAGTAACACGTTCAAATCCCAAGCCTTTTACCAATAAGAGCAGTGAGTGAATTGTATTCCAAAAAGCCTGTAAAAAAACTGTAAACTAACATTAACATTGAAAATGAAACCAACCTAAAAATAAATACAGTTGCTGAAAATTAGTCACCCAAAATCTGAGTGACTATGAGTCATTAAAAACCTTGCCAAAACTAAAAGGAAAAAAAAATCATCTAACAGATTACTCAAACTATCCTGTTAGCCTAGTAACAGTTTAAAAATGGGAATTTGGGAAAGACCTAGCTTGGGGTTAGTTAGTTAGGGTGAATGTAGTGGTTGGCTAAAACAGAATTAACCACTACAGGAACAAAGTAGCCAAAATAATTTCTAAAGGTTGTAGCATTTCACCTAAAAACTAACTAAAAAGAAGGGACAATACACCCTAAACTTGTTTAACTAACCCTATTTGTCAGCTCTACATCAGTATGCCTGGAAACAGCCAGAGTTCAATTGATAAAAAGCTGAAAGTGAAACAAAAGATCAACGAAAATGACTGGAATTACCAGAAAAATATCAGCAATGATATATTTCAAGAAAAATGTGTGAATAACCATGAACAGGTGCTTATTGTCCAAGGTGTTACAGTAAGAAACGTCACAGTGTCAATTAGTGAAGTTCAGAGGTGACACAGAGAGGCTCTGGTTACACAGTCCCTCCGGCTTCACTCTTTGTGCTAAACTCACTGTCTAATGAAGGAGGAGGTCACTGTATATCATTTACATTCTGGTCTTGGACTTTTATTTTGACGATCTGTTTCTTAAGATCTAAGGCTGGTTGTCAAACACGTTCACAACCGTACCGCGGGCAAACCTTCAAAAATTCTTCTGATTGATTAACCCTGTGTTTTGCAGGTTCTCTAGATTACACACACACACACACACACCGAAACAAAGACAGGAAGTGGAAGAGTCGTGCCTGAGTTTTTGCCCAGACTGCTTATTTTTCCTCTGACAGAAGAATGGTGGATGACAAAAAACGTGACAATGTCTTTCATGATGCCAAACAATCTGATATTTTATGATTCCACAGCTCCTCTGATTTTTTATCTTCTATTAACAAAAAGGGTCAAAGTTCACAGTCGCCTTCAGCAAAAGGGTCTCAAAAGGACAAGTTGTTGTGGGTTCACGGCACAGTCGGAACATACGAAAAGTTCAAGGCAACATTGGCCGGAAAATATCAATAATTACCAACAGATGATATAAAACAACAATAATTCAGGATATTCATCTGGGCTGAACGTCTTATTATTGTTTATCTGACCTGAGACTGGGCCACTTTGATGCTGTGACTGGGCCATATATGGCCCTCGGGCCGTTATTTGAATACCCATATATTATTTATAAAAAATAATAATAAAATTTGCTAACAATTAGCTTAACATAGAGTACAAAACGCAAAAAAAAACTGCGACAAATTAGCAGCATGGTGTCTGAGGACTCTCCAGCCAACAGCAATAAATCAGCAGCCAGTAAGAAAAACAAGGAAAAATCAGTCGGAGAAAAGGTGGTAAAGGTAACAACTGTTGACTCACTGTCAGACGAAAAACAGTTAAAAGTGAGACAGGGTTGAGCTAAAAGGGTAGACATTATTGACTTTTAGATATCATTAAAAAATCTTTCTCAAAAATAGAAAGATATAGAGGAGAACCGTAGAACATACTGTCAGCAGGACCTTTAATTCACGCTAGGTTAAAGTTTGCTCTGATCCCAAAATGGTACAACAACTTAAACTGTGGCAAAAACAATCATCAATAAAAAATTATATCAAAATTATTAATAATTAATAATTAGATTCACGCTAGGTTAAAGTTTGCTCTGAAATGATCCCAGTACAACAACTTAAACTGTGGCAAAAACAATCATCAATAAAAAATTATATCAAAATTATTAATAATTAATAATTAGGTCTTTCTACGTTTCTACGTCTTCACCCACGCCCGTGGCCCATGTGGAAGTGGGCAGGATAAGAATATTTAGGCTGCATGTTTCCTCCCAAACTACATTCCCAACACCGTAGATCATGGACATTACGGCTCTTACATCCCCTGTTGGCTTTCGTATATACAAACACACACCTGCTGGGGCAAGGCCGTCTGGGAGAGAATTACAACACACTAATTTATGAGACCCCAGGGAGGCCAAAGGCCAGGAGACCCAGACTGGTCCGACCTTGCTTCCTCCTCTCCTGGACTCTTGATATATGGAACATGACATTGACTTTCAAAGCCGTCACGTTCTCACAGTCTTTAACACGAACCCGTTTATCACAATGAGCTCAGCTGCTAACCACAGATAACCCACTAGTCAACCACTGTGGAACGTTTGGTTCAGACAGACCTGGAGGTCCGTGGCTGAGGAGAGGAGTTCTGTGAAAAGTCCAGCGCTGCAGCTCCAGCCTCTGACTTCCTCATTTCCTCCAGTGTGAAGGCGCTGTCATCCGTCACTTAGGCACAATAGTACAGTCCTGGTCCAGGCTACTGACACCAGCACATGCTCTGCTGATAAGGCTCACCTTCCGGAACCTGCAAGAGTAGAGCCATTAACAGACACGCAGCGGTTTGGTCCTTGGCCATTCTTACTGATAACTAACAAAAGAAAATGACTTAATGAGCTCCACTGGAAATGTTTGTATTTTATTTTTTTATTTTAAAGGTCAGTATTGGTCTTTCTGGCCTCATCGACTACAACAGGCTGCACAAATTCCATTTGATGCGCCAGACAAAAAAAGAAAAACTAATATAACATTTTGTTATTGTTTTTTGTGTTTTGTTGCCTATATTTATCTTGATTAATTTTTAATGAATCCACAGCTGCTCTGTGATCAATCAGGTTAATGATGTAAACAGTGTGCTCCATACACGTGGTTCCTCTGGGACTTGAACCCTGGACCTTTTTCATGTCAGGCACATGTGCAAGCAGGCGTGACAATGAGTACACTATGGAACCACTGCAAGGAAGTTTGAGGCAGCCTGAATGAGGTGTCTGGGTGGGATTATCAAGTGTCAGTTTGGGATTACAAGTCATTTTAATCTGGAGTTTAGTTGGATTGATCGTAGACCACAACATTTTGGATTTTACTTGTAGGTTCCACTTTCCCACATAATTGCTCTGGAAGAAATTCTATATCTATTACAAAAAAAAAATGTTCATAGCCCCCTTTAGAATTCCTCACCCGCTCTGATTGTAGCTCCCCCCCCCCCCCCCCCCGCACATGCTTCTCTACTTACAACCAGCCTTAATGACTACAGTCATCAATAAGTCATCAGGACTCTTCTCTGCTGTCCTCAGGTGTCCATTGTCCCTCAATAACTCCACGGGGAGGACAAACTGGACATGTCCACCTGTCACTCACATGTCTGCTGAGAAGATACCGCTGTGTGTGTGTGTGAAAAGTAGTGTCTTCCCAGCAGACATGGAGAGAGGAGCAGAACAAGAAGGAACATGTCCACTGCTGCCTGGCAAACTCACTAATATTGAAGAGAGTAAGGGAAGAGGAATGTATCAACATGAGTTCACAGCCCACATCATCAGAACAGCAGCAGCAGCAGCATGTCAGTGCTGACCTGTGCAGTGGACCTGACCTCCTCCTCTTCCTCCTCCTCCTCCTCCTCCTCCTCCTCCTTATCACCATGATATTCTGAGATGGAGATGATGTATTGGTTGGAGAGGCTGCCTTCAGCGTGGAGCAGCTCCTTGACACTAACTGTGAGTCTGGGTTTTGTTACAGACAGGAAACAGACTCTTCCGCTCCGTAAACACGCTCCTCTGTTCGGCCACCTCCAGGCTGCCGGTGGCACGCGAAGACCACCGAGCGCGGGGGTCGTGAACGCGCGTCAGTGCGCGCTCACAGGAGGCCGGAGACGCGGCGCTGCGTCCATGACCCGTGACGTTTAGAAGTGACACGAAAAAGAGAACATTCAGGCCGACACGAGAGGTTTCCGACTTTACTGACGCTCTCGTCTGTCCCTGAACATGTCACAGCTCACACACACAGCACTTCCAGACAAGTTAGTAGAAGAAGTTAGTATTAAATAATAATAATAGTGCGCTGTAGTGCGCATTGAGACTTGGCATCGTCTGGTTGATAAATAAAAAATACATAAGTAAATAAATAAAATAAAACCTATAAAAGTCGAGTAAATTAAAACTCTTTGCTTTATATTACCTTTTAAATAAGAATGATTGACATGAAAATAGAAAAACTACAGATTTGGAATGTTTTTTGGGAAATGTAATAAATTACGTATTTACGGCAATTAGGTGCGTTTTTGATTAAAATAAAAGTACCGGGATTAAATACAGGTTTAAATTTTTAAAATTATTTTTTAAAATAGATGAAAATAATTGTTTTTCAAGACAAATACCTATAATTAAACGAACGAAATAAAATATTTCTCTATATTTTTTAATTTATCCAAACTGCAAAATTACTCATAGCATTTTAATCCCAGATTACAGCTGCAACGTAAGATTAAAACACTACAGAAAAAGAACAATAATAAAAAATACATATATATAAATAAACACATACGGTCAAGATAAATACTTTATAATAGGTATATCTTTGATTATTGATTAACAATCATTGGTCTTTTAATTATATTAATTAATAATTGGGGTTATTTTTGAGACTCAGTTAGATTTTTATCTTTTTTATTTTATTTATATATTTATATTGATGACACTTGTTATATGTGTCCTGTCTTTCTCACTGACGATGTGCATCAAAACGCAAATTAAAAAAAAAACCTATCGGACATCTCCCGTTGATTCTTATCTGTTGCCCCCTGGACCCCCACGACCACCACCACCTCCTCCACCTCCACCTCTCTCTCCTTCATGCTGTCACACTCCACTTACTGGTTTTAAAGGCAGAGGAGTCCGGAGGGAGGAGGTGGCAGACACAGACTGCTGTCCTAATCTAAACAGCTCCTAATCTAAACAGCGCCGCGGTGATGGTTGATGGTGAGCGGATGAGATTATGTTCACATGCTCTTCTTTTCTTTCCACACGGTTTAGGAGCAATGGGCCTTCAGAGGCTGGCGCCTGCACTTGGCCAAAGAAAGGAGAGCGGAGACAGAGGTGTCCCGTTTCACTGCTGCGGAAGAAGACGCCCTGAAGAAAGGAGGAAAAATAGTTTAATTTATGAACCTAGATTGTGCCCATCATGAAGCAATTAAAATTAAAAAATATATAATATATAAATATATATAATATAAAAGTGTGATAGATTATGTTATAGTATTTTGTCATTCTTATTCTTTAATCATTTATATTAATAATAATAAATATTAATAATGGTGGCTCTAATCGTATACTACTACTATAGTACTGCTACTATAGCAGTAACATTTATAGTGGTGGTTGTATTACTATTAGCATCATCATTACACAGGATGTCTAGTCACACGTCGGTAAACATAAATAAATAAATGTTTGTAATCTCAAAACTCTTCCCTAAATTAAAAGAAAAAAACCCAACTAATTCATTATATTTAAATCCCAAACTCTCTGTGTGTTTGTATCTCGTTTCCCACCGTCCAGACAGATTATCTTATCCATGTATTTCCGAGGCAGGAAACAAAGATATGGCTAATCTTAAAAAGAGACACAGTGATGATGGCAGGAGCTGAGAGCTTTTTGGGGACCATTAGAGACGAGACGCAGTTTAAACAGATAAAACCACCACAAGTACCACGGCCAGGACCCGCCTCGAGGCTGTTTACTCTGTATCATGATAGGAAATGTAGACTTTTCTGTGCTGTTTACTCTGGGTTTTCACTGCCGAGAACGGTAAATGGAAATAGTCGGACATTTAACGACTAAAATAAGTGGTTGAAAATGACCAATGAATGATGAGAAAAGGATAAATAGAGAATACAGAGAGAGAGAGAGAGGCAGAGAGAGAGAGAGAGAGAAAGAGAGAGAGAGAGAGAGAGACGTCACTAAACGGGAGAGGTCAACGTCTTAGCTGATCCAGCTCTTTCTGTATTCAGCCAACCAAACAGGATCGACCTCTCTCTCTCACTCACTCTCTCTCTCTCTCTCTCTCTCTCTGTCGCTCTGTCTGTCTCTCAGCCCTGCGGACTCAGACAGAGGGATGTCACAGCTCAGAGAAAGACAGTCCTCCTCGGTCTGCATGACAAACCAGCCCGGCGCGACCATTCTTCACTTTTACGCACAGAATATTCTATTACGCACGAGTCTCTGGCTTCTTGCACACACACAGGCCCGAGACACGTCGGTCCGATTTTGGAGCCGTAACTCTCCGATCAATCGGTTACCTCCCCGCTGATGGTGATAATGCTCCCCAGTCCGGTCCTGACTTCCTCCACCACGCCTTTTTCTGTAAAGGACATTCTGAAGTTAGAGCTGCAGCAACAATCCCAGCAGCACCAGCTCCAGTTCATCTCCTGCTTCGGTCTCTCCGGTGCTGCGCCGTCGCAGTCAGACGCAGCCCGGCCGAACAAGACCAGCCGTACGCACTCGCCTCCCTCCTGCATGCTGGCAGGCAGGGACAGTCCTAGTCCTCTCAGCTCCGGGCTCTCAGAGACCCAGGACAGGATGTCCTACCTCAGCGCCATGACGGTACCGGAGCGGCTGGCGGGCTCCGGTTTGCCCGTGGAAATGTTCGGCATCCCGGCGCACACCCAGTCCGTGGAACTGAGGCTGGAGAGTGAGCAGGAGGAGCAGGACAGTGAGTACAGAGAGTTATCACTATTATTATTTATAGTCATTGTAACTGCAGTAATATAACGCTGCAGTGTTTATTTAAAATAGTCTTCTTCATTATGAAATATGAAGGAAAAGTAAAGACATGTATTTACAAATCAATAAGAAAAAGACAAATAAATATGTCACCAATGATTCAGCATCCTGTTAATATTTGACTTATGACCATAATATCCAGAATTCATTTTCTCTCTTTATAAAATAATACAATATTTTCTGTATTTATTCCTAAATAAGAAGGTGGAGAAATAGAAATTGAAACATTGGCCTGAAGTTTAAAACAATCCAATAATGGTACGTGAATTAAAGTAATATATAAAGGAGGTTTTTTGGTTCACACAAGGACAACAATTACTTTTTCGAAATTTGATCGTTTTGCTAAAAAAGGAAAAGGAAAATCACAGCCTTAATTGTAGATATGATTTTCAGCTGCAGAAAAAAAATATCAGTAAATATGTTACATTCTGCAGCATCATCTGCTCTGTCCTTTAAAACTGTCATTTCTAACCTGGAGACCAGATGTCATTTTTGTTGGGCCTAAAACGAGCAGGTGTTTCTTTAAAAAAAATACATGTATTTTTCAAATTTGTTTTGGTAAAAGTTCTCAAATAGTTAGTAATAAATATTATAACAATACATATAAGGCCACTTGGATTTATTGTGTTAAACGGCTCCTTACTAATGGATAGATTAATAAACAAATAGTAGTTATTATTGGTTATTATATTATATTTGTTAATTTATTTATTACATAAATACATTAACAAATATAAAATAATAATATAAAGGCTGTTAACTTATTTGAACAGGTGGGAAATAAAAGATAATCTTTGATGACTAATAATTGATGTGTGATCATTTATCCATGCAACATTATATATGTATAAATGTATTAATTAATGGGTATTTTTATGTTTATTTTTATAGCTATGAAAACATGTATGGTTTGGTAACACCGGTAACATGTAGATATTAGAATATCAATAACACATTAATTGCAGAGCCCGTATGCTGTGGTTACAGTTTTTATAGTTCTCTGTTGTCCTGCCCGCAGACATCTGCGGTGTTTTGCGCAACAACTGCGAGGATACAGACTCGGACAAACCCGCCGCCAAGCAGCAGAGAACCAGGCGGAAACCGCGCGTCCTCTTCTCCCAGGCTCAGGTGTTCGAGCTGGAGCGACGCTTCAAGCAGCAGCGCTACCTGTCCGCCCCGGAGAGAGAGCACCTGGCCAGCTCCCTGAAGCTCACCTCCACCCAGGTCAAGATCTGGTTCCAGAACAGGAGGTACAAATGTAAGAGGCAGCGGCAGGATAAGACTCTGGAGATGGCGGGACATCACCACCACCACCACCATCATCATCCTCCCCCGCCGCCCAGGAGGGTGGCCGTGCCGGTGCTGGTGCGGGACGGCCGGCCCTGTCTCACTGGATCCCAGAACTATAACTCCTCTTACACAGTGGGTGCTCCAAACCCGTACAGCTACACGTATCCACCCTACAGCTACAACAGCTCGGTGTACACCAACACCTACTCCTGTACTTACTCCGCTTTACCCGCTCTGCCGCCCAGCTCCACCACAGCGAACGCCTTTGTGAACATGAATTTGGGGAACTTTGGCGCACAGGCGCAGAGCCAGGCTCCCCAAGGACCGGTGGTCGCACCCTGTCAGGGAACTCTGCAGGGCATTCGAGCCTGGTGACTTGATACGTGGGCAGAAACGCAACTGGGGGATATTTTTCCGGTTTGGATGACTGGATCCAAGTATGCAATTCCAAAACAATTTGGTGCAAAGAGTGAACGATTCACTGAACATCTCCAGGAGGCGCAAACTGCTGCTGTGATCTAACGGACAGGAACCGACAGAGTCAAATCCCGTTTTGTCCCTTTACTCTGAGCCACACAGATGTAGGAAACACACTGCAAACCTGCTGTTTAGTATTTGACTGCGTTGACTGTTGTCGCTGGGCAGAGACTGATTGACCTGTTGTTCATGTGCGACAGACAATAAAGTGCGTTTTGGACAATTTATACTGACTTTATTGTAAGATTACACTGGTATAGTATTAGTCCAACAAAGGCCCGGTCATTTAATCCAAAATTAAACAAATCTATTTTAGAAAGCAATGTATTTAAGGGAAAATAAATAAATAAAACCGACCTTGACGCAATCCATCAGGCATCACACAATGGATTTTTAAAATCTAAAATACATGGACGTTTCAAAAACTTCACCAGATTTGAACAGTTTGGATACGTTGACACATTTGAAGAGTTATTATAAAATTCTTGTGTTAAAATTATGACTCCAGCGTCAGTTCAAGGAGGGGAAAAATGGCCTTGTTGCCCAATTTGGTTTGGGTTTAAAACAAAAATAATATCAAAACAAAGAAAAAGTATTTTTGGATGAGTTTACGGACGGACGTCGCTCCCGAAATATCCGTTAAATTGTAGTTTTAAAACCGTTTGGATTAGAAACTCATTTAATTCATTTTATCAAATATTTTACTGTTTTTCTTTGTGTAAAAATATAACATTAAAACAAAAAAATTGAAATACAAAATGAAATTAAAAGACAGAAGGAATAATGTCCTGTGATTGAAGTGTGTGTACACGTGTGTGTGAGTGTGTGTTCAACTGATTTAACTAGACTCCTGGGAACACGAGGTAAAGATTATTGTAGATTCAGTGTCAGATTAGAGTTCGAGTCAGGATTAAGACACGGTTTATGTCTGTGTTAGTTAAGGTTATAGGTTAAAGGGCTACAACATGAATTATGTCTGTGTGAAGTATGTGGGTGTACTCTTTAGTACTTCTTTATTTACTGCACAGTAGAACGAGTTCTGGAAGTATTACTGAAAATTTAGGTCATGGACTAATGGATACAAACAACGTCGAACCAACGCTATTTTCTTTCTAAATATTTGATTAAAGTTGTGGTAAAAAATCGAGTTAAATTATGCTCAGTTTTGGGTAAAAAACTGTTATGATTAGAATTAGGTTTGACTTTTACATTAACCTGTAAAGTTGTCGTCATCACGCACAAATAACCGCGTGTGTATTTTCGCGTACAGCTAGAAAATACTAGCGATCAAACATAGAAACACATTCATTAGAACTGTCATTTTTTATCTCTCAAATATGTATTTCCCGTCCTCTCACATCGTTTTGCAGCCAAAAAAAAATACTTTTTTTCTTCTTCTTCATTTTTCTTGTGAGAAAGCTTCTCGACGACATTGGACTTTTGAGACAAGAAGCAGAAACAGAGAGCATTCAGAGAGTCGGGAATCACAGACGGACATTAACCAGACAACGACCGACATCCCCGGGATGCACAGACAGACGAGACTCCCAGAACCTCGAGTGGAGGATAAATATACACTGAAGAATATTCTCCTGCCTGTAACAACCGCATGTAGCAGTAATAATAATATAATAATAATGTAATAGTACTACTACTACTAATAATAATGATAATAAAGTATTATTTAAAATATTATAAAAATAATAAGTATTATTATTATTAATTTATTGTTAAATTGCTATTGGTTACAGTATATAAACGATATTGTCGATATGGTAAAGGTGAGTTTTTTTTCCGTTTTTTTAAATAAAGACCTTTACCCCCCAAACCTGCTCCGACACTCAAGACACTTGTAATGGAGATGAATGGCAGTGTTTGTCTGCACTCGCTGCCCCACCGGCCACTTCCCTTGGCTACTGCGCTGCCGGTGTGGCACATACCTGGTGTCAGCTCTAAGTGCTGCACAGTCACAAGTGTAAATAGAACTGGCGACAGGACGGCGATGCCTGAGGAGGCAGCCGGGGCCAGAGCTGCTCTGACAGCCGCAGCAGAAGCAGCAGCAGCAGCAGCAGCAGCAGTGATCTCTATCTCCTGCATCTGCTTCTTCTTCCAAAGATAGCACAGCCCGGCTCATCGCTGAGCAAGGCGTGGAGTTTCCCAAAACAAAATAAGTCTCCAGTGGCAACCACTTAAGGAGCTCACAAAAGAATCGGACGCCAAATATAGAGAAGAGAAAGAGCCTCCTCGGGGTCCCTGCTTCAACAGGGCACTGGATGGAGGTTTTTTGGGGATTGCTAACGCAACTATATATTTTTATTTTTACATTACAATAAGGGACACAATCATTTAGAAACTAAACTAGTTTCTAATAAAACAATTCGAGATACCCGCAAGATAAAATTCCTAAAAATAAACGCCGTACTTAATGACTGAGGTTTTGGCAAGAATAGAGAAAGTTCAGGCTTGTTGCAGTGGCGGTTCTACAGGGTGGCACAGGAAGTCAGCTGTGACCAGAAAACATATCTTACAAACTCTGTTCCCACACGTTTTGAAGGTCATGTAAAAAAAAATTCGCGTTAAAATATTTTTTTAAATACCAATGACATCTGCACAGAATTTTAATCTCTACCAATTATCTTAATTATTGTAGTTTGAAAATAATTTATTTTTTCTACATTTTTACATTTTTCTTCAACTGCGATTAAAATAGACGCGAATAAATGACTTCGAGTTCCTGAGGGAATTAAACTCTTAACAGAGCTGATTTATTTCTGTAGTGACTTTAATTTGGACCTGACACAACAGGGACTCGTCTCAGACTCATGACTCGTTAAATTATTTTTCAATGACTTGAAATCGGAAGTGAAACCTAAAAGGGACTCTTCTCTACTGAGCTCAAAGTTTCTCTTCAGTGACTGAAATCAAAATTACGACCTGATTAAAAATGTGCTTGTTGACTTTAAACACCACAGCTTCCTTTGCAACTCTGAAAAAAAAAAATTCTTCTCCCCGAGCCTTATATTTGACACTGGTGAAAGGCGATATTCAATGTCGGTAAAAAGCAGACCACAAATATGTATCAGAGAGACACTTTCAACAGGCAGACGTCAATCACAACAACACCCACAGCAGCTCACCAACAGATCTGAGCATACGACGATATCACACTAGTTCAACCAAAGTGAATGAGCAACATTTCAACCCCCCCCCCCTCCCCCCCCCTCACACACACACACTCCCTCCTCCTGCAAAACAAAGAGACGTCTCTGTTTAGTCGGAGGAAGAAAACAAAGCAGCACAGAGCAGACTGATCAGTGCATCTGTCACCACCGAGCCTCACTGCAGGGAAACAGGCCTCTTGGTTGCGTAATTAGTGTGTGTGTGCGTGTGTGTGTGTGTGTGTGTTCATGTAGGTGAGAGATAGAGCTAGATATAAAAGAAGAAAATAAAGACTGAATGTGAAGTATCTCTCTGTCCATGTGCGTGTGTCAAAGTAAGAGGACGAGTCGTGAATTTACAGAGTGTGTGTACGTGTGTCAGAAAGAGAGAGAAGAACAGAGGGAGGGGGAGAGGGGGGGGGTAAAAGACAATATATGGGAAATTGCTGAGTGAGTGTTTGTGACTGTGTCTGACAGAGAGGGGGGAGAGAGAGGGAGAGAGGGAGAGAGAGAGTATGTGTGTTATACAGAGAGAAAAATAATCTATAAAGTGTGTGTGTTTGTGTCATAGAACATAAGGATATAAATCGTATGTTTCTGTGTCAGAAGAAGAAGAAGAAGAAAAAGTAAGGAGAAAATATATGAGAACATAAAGTCTGTGTGTGAGCGCAGTCGATAGGGTTTTATATTTCTAATAAGACCACGCGGCGGCGCTACTTACTTGCCTGTGCGTCAAGGCTGTGATTATAGCTACACTATCCCCGTCACTCAATTATGTTTAAGTTAAAAAGTTTCGCAGCTTTCATAGCGTTCTGGTTATTTAAAAAAATAAAATAAAATAAATTTCATAAGGAAATTAGAAAAAATAATTTGATGTAAATTTTAAATAATATGTTTCATCTTTACAAGACGAAGACGCAGTGAAATGTTTTTGGACTAAATACCAGGTAAAAAAGGGGTTCCAGGGTAAGATGTGTGGAAAACAATGCGTTTTTACGCACGAATCCAGTCTTTACGCACGGGCTTTTCTGAATGAAGAAATATTCTATCAACAAGCAGATACTGAAACAACTAGTTTGAGCTCATTTCCGTTTGATATGATTGAAAAACAATTCCATGAACGGTTGCTTCTCAAACAGATTCCCAGCAGAGACTCTGCTGAAGCTGGGCGGTGCGAAGGAGGGAGTGGACGGAAGAAAGAGCGCAGAGAAGATAACTGGAGCTGCTGCTCCTGCCGCTGCTTCTTACGGGTTTCCTGACAGACTTGACAGGTCCTGACGTGAAGTGTTCATTAGCCGCCTGAACTCTGCACACCGCAATCGAATTACAGTGATTAACGGCGGCGGAAGCTGTGAGGACTATCATCACTTTCTGCCACTTTCTCCATGAACGACTTGTGTCTGCTCTGAGTTTTAATTATGACCTTAACGTTTTCGTCCTTCTCCATTAAAGACATCCTCACCGGACGGGACTGCCCGGGTAGAACCGTCCGTGACACACAGATTTGCGCAAAAGAGAGCAACTTCTGCGGTGCTCAAAACGGTGGAAGCGACCCTGATGTGTGTCGTCAGGACACAGGGGAAAAAAGCATCCAGACGGAGAGACATATCCAATCTGATGATTCAAGTGGAGAGGAGGTCAAGGAACGAGGAACCAAACAGACAGACGGTCAAGGTGAATCCATTATTATTATTAGAAAGAACTTCCTCATCGAAATAGTGATGTATTTTATGGAATTATATAAAATAAGTAATTTGAATTCATTCTTATTGTATGTGTTTTATTTTAACTTGGATTTATATGAGTAAACAGAATAAACGTACATTCTAGTTACGATTGACTTTTTAAGCTGTGCGTAAAACCTCACGCCTTATCCTCTCAGACTGTGGCAGTGTGGACTCGCATGACCCCCAGAAAACTGTGGTAGATTTCATAGAAGACGGATGTCACCACTGCCGGGACTCGAGCAGACGTCCATCCGCCCGAGGTCAGGCCCTGACCGTCACCAAAAAGCGCTCCAGAGCGGCCTTCTCTCACGCACAGGTCTGCGAGCTGGAGCGTCGCTTCAGCGCACAGCGGTATCTCTCAGGCCCGGAACGGGCGCACCTGGCTGTGGCTCTGAAGCTGACCGAGAGTCAGGTGAAAATCTGGTTCCAGAACCGCAGGTATAAAACCAAACGGCGGCAGAAGACGGCCGAGCTGCTGTCCTGCTGCACGGCAAAGAAAGCAGCAGTAAAGGTCGTGGTGAAGGACAGACAGACGCAGTTTTACCATCACTACTCACCCATGACTGTGCCAGTGTTCCACACTCACCCACTGTCTCCTACATACACTACTGCTGTCCCCCACGGGACATGGTGTCCACACGGACCGGTTCAAGCAGCGCACACCGCAACAACAAGAGACTTTTATTTACCAAAATATTTTAGATGACACTTTTCACTTCACAATCAAAATAAATCACAGTGAAACTGCACGTGTGTACGCTGTAAATGGTCATTACATTGAATTAATCTCTCAATTGTTGATTTAGTCAGAAAAATAATGATTATTGAACCTTTTTTTATTTTATTTTATTTTTTTTGATATTTTGACGTTGCTGTGAGAGTCGATTTAAAAACCTGGTTGTGATTTTTTTATTATTATTATTCAGAACTCATTGGTGTGTATTAACCTTAACATTCCCCTAAAACTGTGGAATATTAAAGGGTTATATTCCAGCCCTGCTTTTAATGCTGTAGTTATAGTTCAAGGAGTGACACGTCACTCGTTAAAGCATCACGTTTTAAGAATAACTTTTTTTCAATCTCACTTTCAGAAGAATCCTTAGGTCAGTTGACCTTCTGTGCTCACACAACTAAACTTTTTCCCCATAGTTTTTCATTTCCAGATTTTCCAAATATCACAATAAATTAATCTCCACCATTAATATGTTTTAAAAAAGGTGAAAAAAATACAATCCAATAAATGTACGTTTGCTTTAAGCAACGCTGAAAGGGTTCTATGTTTTTTTTTGTGTGGCTTTAAGAAATGACTGTTATAATGCTGTGTATTTTTGTATATAATTTAAATGCGGCCTCGTCGTAGGAGTTAACCAATCAGATAGCAGGACTTGGTCTTATGTTTAACGGAACATTTTTATAATGAAACTCTTTAAAATAAGTTTGGTTCAACATTTCTAAAAAGTACAGCCATTGTGGCCAGTTTTACATTTCACCATTTATTTAACTTGAAAGTCATGTTATATTTACTTAATTTATAATCCGTAAAACCAACGCGACATATCTATTTGTTTTAGTTTCACACAACTGTTAATAACAAACAGGGTTTTTAGGAACGGGCAGACATAAATATTATGTTTTTATTTTTACCATTATACTTGAAGAATTAAGGGAATACATGTATTAATTTTAAGTCCCAACCTGTAATAATGAAGTTGTTTTCCTACAAAGGTGAGTCATTTGTTCCAGTGAATGTAAACTGTGTGAAAAAAAAAAGCCCGTCATTTGTTCCAGTGAATGTAAACTGTATGAAAAAAACAAACATTGTTTTTGTTGTGGCCTAAATAAGCTGTTGTTTCTCTGCATGGCTGAGGACTGTCATGGACATCAGTGATGCTACAGGTTAAAGAGCGGTCAGAATGTGAACAGGACACGTGCAAACACACCTGAGTGGATGCTGTTATAAAAAAAATAAACCCACTGCATGCCAACGGACAGGTGATAGGGATCAGGCAACGCAGACAACAGATTCTGTGTTCGTGGATTTCACTGTTGCACACGCCCGCCCAGTGTGTTGACATTACCTGGTCATCTACCATGTTCTGGTTTTATTTTTAAATTGGGTGCGTTTTCTAATCTCTGCTACATGATTCACAGGCGACCAATCGCCCGTGCAGCTGTTGCACCATCCCTCTCATTAATCATGCTTTGCTCAAATCGACAGCGCCCTCAGAACACAGCAGCGACACTTGATGGGAAAATGAAAACATAATTGTCAAAAGCCGCGGCTGCAGCTTTTCACGGGGCTTTTAACTGATTGCGCACTACGAGTACTTGTACTGTACTTGATTGTACAGTCGGTTGGTATTAAGTACCAGAACCACGTGGCATGACAGGAGCCTGCAGAAACACATCTGCCCCAGCCGATGGCAGAGATTGGAGGTTTCGTAATTGAGGCAATAGAGAGACAAAAGAAAAAGAGGAAAAAAAGAAAGAAAAGAAAAACGGTTCTGTGACGGTTGACTGTAATGTCATCATGCATCGCACTGTTAGTTATGTCTGAGTTAGTCCGTAGGAAATATTATTATTTGAAAACGATAGCACTTGAGCATCTGCATCATTACAGAAGAGGGATGTTCCTCACAACAAGCATCACTGTCCAACAGACACCTACCTCAGGTCTCATTCGTCACCTTTATCTAAACACCACTTAATGCTGTTCTAAGTGGTTGGCACTGTGCACGACATGCTCCTGGGCATGAGGAATATTATCTATCGAAACGAATGGCTGTAAATCTGCAGGGCACAAGTGAATCTAATTTTTAATGTTTTCATTTGCTCATAAAAACGAATCCCCCGATGACAGACATTCTAACAAAGAAACCTGGATTTTGGCCCAGAGGTCTATCACCTTGTATGAGATGATTATTCAGATGAGTGATTTCTGTCATCTGTCATGTTATTGTTATAAAAAATAACACAAATAAAGACACTGAATAAAAGGGAGATTTTTGGGGGTTTTTTTGCCAGGAAATTAAATTCAACAAGAGCAGCAAAAACCTTTCAACCATGATGGCAGTACAAAGAAGTACAAGATGAAAAGTCTAGATATCTGATTGTATTTTGAATCTGTTTTACTAGAGGACTGTGCCATTATGCTGTTAGCAAGTTGGAAATTTAGTGTGACAAATTATCACCCCTTCTCATCTACTATCTACTTATAACACTGGTCTGATGTGTCAGTCAGACTAAATCTGTTCGAACACAGCAAAGAGGCTAAAGAAACGCAAATTTCTCGGGAACCACAGGTTTCTGACCCCCTCGATTTGTGGATTATCATAATTCATCTTAATTCGTGACAGGCAGTATGTATTTTTTTTCTTTCAATATAAACTAAAAATGGAGAGAGACTTGAAGAAGATCTTTAAGTGTCTTTCTTCAATTCCTGTGAGTGTATCATTCTTGTGTTTAACTAAACAAGTCAAGATTTTATAAATGACATGACATTCTGTGGCCTTTAAGGTTGAATCCCACTGCTATCTAATCACTTCTGTTGCTCTTTCCTCCTAACTCATTGTTGTGTGTTCTTTCCTGCCTCCGACTTACAGTATTATATTTGGAGGCCTTCTTATTGTCCGAACAGAATAAGAATACACAACTGCAGGAAGTGGTAGTGAGACACAGGCCACTCACTCACACGGACTCAAAGGCCAACATACCAGACAAATGTGAAACCTGCCCTGTTTGTTGCACTACCTCACTATCACTACATCACTTTCAGGTTATAACCTTGTCACTGCTTTTTCTGCCTTCGTGGCGGGGAATGTGCTCCAGCCAGTAAACCACTGAGCCATCGTCTTACTGTGTGTGTAAATAGTAATGTTGGAGTATGTAAATATTATGAAGGGTTTGGTTTTATTTAATTTAAGTGCTTCAGCCTGAGTCGCCTCATAAAGACCAACAACAGAGAGAGAGAGAGAGAGAGAGAGAGAGAGAGAGAGAGAGAAAGAGAGAGAGAGAGAGCAATGTTTGTCCTTGTCTCAGAACAATCATCTGCAACAACTACCAGGACTTTAGAGAGAATTACAAGACAGACTAAAATAGACCTTTTTAATGCTACTGTCGTTGCAACAGATCATCTACTCTTGTGTTTGTTTTTGTTGCAGGTTGCTCGTTTGTGAGGAATGCATTGAAGGTGGGGCCGTGGCAGTTCTTAGCGAATCCATTATAGGCTACCATGTAACGATACTCATCTATTTTCTATTGTATTGAGTATTTTTACAGCTTCTGAGCAGCAGTTACGCAAAGCATTTCCGATGCGTCACTTGTCTAGGGATTATTTTTCTCAAGGGCTTTACTGGTTCAAACAAAATATCAAAGTCACAAGTACAAAAATTAAAGATCATAGCTACTGTACCTTTGGGGTTTGGTCTGCAAAAGTACAAATATGTTTGAGCTATAGTCTTCGTTCAAACAACAAATCCATTTGAAAATATAGAGAAAGATATCAACAGAAAAAACATGTTATTAATGGGCAAAAAGTAACTTTAAAACTGCCAATCAACAGTCATTGGAGAAACAACTTAAAATAACAGCGGTTTTTATGCACTGGGAGACACAGTGTGAAGATGGTGTTAATGCATTAGCCCTCAGTGGACACAGGGCAGGACTCAGGAAGCAGAAAGGTCATGGTTAATACCTCTGTTAAAAGACAGATCTGCTTCCCTTAGACCTCTCTTTTTTTTCTCTCTCTCACTGTCAGCCCCTCTCTCTCTCTCTCTCCCTCTCTCTCTCTCTTCTATTCCACCGTCTCTAACTCACACAAACACATTTAAGGCAGATAATCCTACCTAGAGGACACTTAGGGATTCTTCCACAAACTATTAGCAGATAGCACCAGCGCATACACGTAGGAATGTAAACATTTACAGTAAAGCAAAAAGACATTAACTCCCCTTGGGTAAAATACATTCATCTAACACACAACCACAGCACAGGCTCTCTCTCTCTCTCTCTCTCACACACACACACCCTGTGTATCACACCTTTAAATCCTACACAAAATTGAAACTGTACCATGTGTTCATCCCTGCAGTGTTTGTGTTTGTCAGGTCGATAAAAGAAACAGCAGAAGATCTGATGGAACTGTTTGCTCCTGAAGTCAGATCACTCAGTGTAAACAGTTCTTCTTGACAGCCCTTGGTATTTAGTCTCAGGCAGAGCAGAGGAGAGGGGAGCCAGCAGCTATATTTGTGACCCTGTGGTCACAGCAAAGAGAGGCGCTGATCCCAGGTTTGTGTTTGTCAGAGCAAGAGCAGGGGTCATGACGAGGATTAGAAAGAACAGAGAGTGTGTGAGAGAGAGATGAGCCCACCAGGAAAATCCAAACTTTAGAAAAACAGGGCCATTTTTGGAGCCGCAGTAACCACAGCTTTTGTATGTGTGATGGATAAGGCAAGAAGTGTAGTTGTAAGGAACTGGAAACTGGAATCCAAAGATTCAGATTTTAAGCTCCTTAGTTTGAAGAAAGCTAAATGAGACAGCACGCGTAATAATAATAATATTAATTATATTTACTTTAGTTAGACGTGTGGGCTTCAGTGTGCAGTAAAGTCCGTGCTCTGCTTAACTGCACAGGTTTTTGTGCCTATCTTATACAGTAAGCCTTTCCTACTCAGATCTCTACATCAGTGATTCTTAAACCTTTAACACAGACATTTCACACAATGCCATCAGAATTCCAGGTGACCCCAAAGTTGAACACAGCCATAGAGAAAGATAATCTGTTACCAATGAGAGCTCACATTAATACAAAAACCTTACCTTGTTGTCATTGTTGCAGGATGGTGTGATGAGGACGTCCACACGGCACAGTGTTGACCTGAGGAAATGAAAACAGTGTTTACTACCTTTCAATGTTTCTATGTAACTACACCAAGAATAAAAAATGGGCTAAAAAAAAGAAAATTAAACAACTTTTTGTGTTTCCTTGGCAGTTCTTTGATTGCAAATGTCAGATTTTTTAGACTATCTAATCAACAGTGAAACCTTAAGTGTCTTTCCCAGGGACACACTGGCATGTAGGTGAGCAGAGATCACCACAGGACATCTGGTCTGGTAAACTGAGATATTTTTAATTTGAATAATCTCAAAAAATATTAAAAATGATGTGGGGAAGATGAACGTTTGTAATACATGTCTCACCCCTTCACACACATCTGCCGACGCAGCCTGTGTGTTATTTGCTGAGGCCCCCGTTCACCATAGATGGACAGGAAGTCCTTCAAGCTGATACATTTCCTTCCTCAGACTCCTCTCCGCTCTCATGTCTCCCACACATACATGCTCAGACGGACACATACTCCTCCAGAGCAGCTGCAGGAGAATCCAAATGTTTTAATTAGTGTTGATAAGCAGAGACAAGGAGACAGCATTGAGGAGGCTCCTATCAGTAAGCTGATAGTGAAACTACTCAGTCTCCACTTCTGGACTCTCAAAGTTCTTCTGTCCTCCTCTTCCTTCAGGACGCGTCCAGAGTGTCCAAGGATGAACTCAGACCTGACTAAAAGCAACTCTCAACATGTTTTTAAAAAAATGAAAAAGTTATAGTTAAAAGAACTTTGAGTTATTATTGTTCATACATACAACCGAAATCTAACTATATATACAAATATACAATTGTTTGGGTCATGTTTAAGAATGTTGATTGATTACAACGAATCATGATTCATTTCTGATTTATTACTGTTAATCATTACATTATGATTCAATTATTACTGCACAGATGTCCTGTGATTAATCAGAATAAAATGTTACATTTCTTGACAGCCCTAAAACAAATCACTGCTAATCACTGCCTCTCACTGAAACCACTTTGGACAAGTGTTTTAAACAGAGTCGGTGTTCGTGTTGTCGGCCTCTAGAATGAATGGTCCACAGAGTTTTCACCAGACCAGTTTGTGCTGACTACGCTCGGGGGGCAATGCAGTTAAGCTCCTTTGACAGGATGGAAAGACAGCTCTGGTTTCAAGATCAAGTTCAAAGAGCAGGAGGCCTGTTTCTCCCTCAGCGTCCCTGACTGCACCTGCGTCGCCTCGAACACACAGACACAGAAAAAAAAGAAAGAAAGGAAAGAAATCCTGCATGACATCCACAGCCAACTTTCATTTGGGTCTGTGAATTGTGAGTATCTTTAGTTGATTGTCTGCATAAAGTTCAATGACGTCTCTTACCTTTTCAAGAGATTTATCATAACATTTGTGACGGTACTGCGTAGTTGCAACCCTCCGTGACAGCGATGCAGTTTCTTTTGGATCTGCCCAAGGTTTTAACTCCCACTAATATCCCATCTTTAGGACCTACGATACAGACACAGTATCACTGCTTATTAACAACCACAAACAACCCTGAAAACGTAAATATATGTCGTAGCCTCCAGTTCAATGCAAGTCATGCATGACGTCTTTTCATGTATTTAAAAAGTCTTCAAAATTCACACACAACAAAGACGCCTTTTTGTGTTGTGTTTTAGAATCTCATTTAGTACAAAGAGAACAGACAAAACAACTTTCTTTGCCATCATCTTCACACAGAGCACACAGGTGTGTGAGTGTGTGTGTGTGTTTAAATGTACTGGTACCAAATTGTTGGGACATGTTCATATGCAAATGTTCTGGGACCGATTCCTTAATTTGACTACCTTTTCTGCTGTCCTACCAAAAGGATTTAGCTTATTATACTGTATTATACATCTTTGTATGTGATGTATGCTGTTTTTAGGCTTACTGTAGTGATAATGTTTTTGACTAAATGGTGATTTTTAAACTACTCACATTTATGTCATCGTTTTATTATACCTGATCACGGTATGTCTGTGGTGCTTTTAGAAAAGATGATGAAATTGGGGCTAGTCTTAAAGATAGTCCCTACAAACTAATAACATTGGTAGTGTGTGTGTGTGTGTGTGTGTTAATGACCCTGTTAGTGGCAGTAGAAAGAATGTCTCCTCCTCTACAGATTTTTCTCCCAAGTGATGACAGAAGCTGGATCTCCCTCCTGCAGCCTAAATTCTCCACCAGACAGTAGCATGTGAAATACTTTAGCTCTAAACAAGAGCATTGACTCTATGTGTTTTTAAAATATTCTTTGATTTCTCCTTACATTTTGCTGAGAGCATCTTTTATGTAAAAAAAGAAACTAAACTAAACATAGGTGCAGTCCATTCCAAATCTCTTGTTTTGACTCCACACATATAAATACACCAATTATTTACACATAACAGAAGGCTGTACTAATTACAGTAATTAGCTTAGTGTACCAGATCTGGTCTGTTAAAGATTTGACAGTAGCAAGTCGCTAAAGGTTAGCAGATAATTATAATATACTTAGATATACTCAGTCTACGTTTTTGTACAAAATCCTGCAAAAGCATGACATATCATGACATTGTATCAATCCAATAAACTTGTTGTCAAAATATTGACAGGCAAAAAATGCCTAAAGGTTGGAGACACACTCCCTCCTCCTCTATTCTGGTTCTCCAGTCCACTGCCCTGTGGAGCCATATTGAAATAAACAGCAACCATTACAAAGCAGCTCCTTCACCCAGGAGCATGGGATTACAACCTGCATGTTATGAGCTACACAGAGAGCCCACGTTCACACCTCATTAATAAACTGCTGGCAAGAATGTGATAGATTGGATGTCCAGGCATAATCCCGTATCACTCTGTAGTTTATACTGAGTGGTCAGGTCACGGTTTCAGTCAAAGAATGGCAGGAGATCTGATGAGAGAAGCAACAAAAGAGACATAAATCCACAGGGAGAGAGGGTGAGGGACTGGGAGAAAGTTGTGTTGCAGGACCTGAGTCCTTCAGGCATTCACATTCCTAAGTGTCCGTGGTGTGTGTGTGCGTATGTGTGTGTGTAAGAAGAGGCGAAATACATCCTTCCTTCCACAGGTGCTTGTTGTAAGGGGCTATAACCAAAGGCTTGAGTTTCCAAAACAGGGACTGACACTAACACACAGGGGGATTGTGTGCAAGTGCCGGCTCTTTATTAACACATACGGATTAATATGACCATAAAAATGTGTAAACGTGACCAAATCAGAGAGAATGATGAGGAACTGCTGCTAATACAGTTGATCTATGTTCTGTTTGGTTACCAGGCAACAGCAATTCATCACATATACATCAGCACAGCCACTGGGTAAATACCCTCCATGAGCTGTGACTGACAGAATGACACCGACCTGCTATGCTTTCATCTCCATATCACCAAGTGTATAGTTTTACAGGGTGATTTAATTTTACCTAATTATTTCTCAATAATCACATTTTTTAAATCAAATACCAGTATTTAGCACAAAAGCAAAGATTAGTGAGATACAAATATATAGGTGTATATATACAATTATAGATATATATATATGTCCATGTAGTATATATATATATGTATATGTAGTGTCTGTAACATGACTGTTATAGCTAACGTTAGCTTACATTACAGGCTTGAAGCGCCGTAGTGAAGTAAAACACTATGTTGAATTATTTACAAAGAGGTAGAACAGTTGTATTACTAAATCAGCAGGCGGAGGCTAAACACAGGGCAAATCTTAGTGCAAGAGACCTGCAGGTGACAAGATGGCAAGATTTGTCTTTATCATTATCCAATTACTGCTAAGATTGGCATCACACAGAAACCCTGAGAAGAATTAAACAGTAGAGTGTGTAATTTCAGGTCCAACAATAGCGTTGTGTTGCTTAAAAATTGATTTAAAAAAAATGAATAGAACAGCCAGGCGGTTTTATCCAGCCATCTTTTCAACACCTCTCCAAAAGGCTCCTGGCATATTTGACATCTGGCACCATTTTGAGTCAAAACTAAATTGGCCTACACTTAAAAAAATATGACAACTGAGATAGGGCCTCTTTGCTGATGAAGGGGGTGAGATAGGTTTGAAATTCCAATGTTCCGACATCCTTAACTGTAGAGTGGAGCCAGGTTTAGTTAGAGTTGTTTAACTCGACTCCTCTCAGACTGCTGACATCTGAAGTAGGCAGAATTAGTCTCTCAAGAATCCTCCTTGAGTTTTGTGATATAGTAATCCTAAAAGTTTAAATACAATTTGTTACTCTGCTACTGCCAAAATGTCATTCAGTCTAAAAATATCATATAAAAGTCTTACAGTTGGCTGCTGCATCTTATTCTTTGAAATGTTTTTAATTTAGCCCATCTATCGACATGTCATGTCCCGGCCCCAGGTAGCTTAGAGACTGAATGGATTATCAAAACACAGTCAGACACAAATACACAAATATGACATTCTGAGAGGCCACACATAACGCACACATGCTCGCAGAGATAGTGGTAAAAGAAAAAAAGAGTGATGGCTCATTAACACTCACTGTTTGAACAGGTGTTTCAGATGGGTGTGTGGCTGTGTTTATGTGGACGCTGAGGCAGAGGCTCTGTCACTTTTCACCACCATCCCTATGATGTGTACACACTGTGGCGTTGACCAGAGCAAAAGAGCCTAGATCTGAAATAAAGAAAAAATAGGCAAAAATGTTAAGCAAAAAAAACCCAAACAAACAAAAACAACCCCCAGAAGATAACATAAATATTCTAGAGAATTGAAATTTTGATGTTGTATCCATCTTCTGAATATAGCACATTTTTAAGACTTTAACCTTCTTTTCTTAAATTATTTATATATTATTATATATAAAATTAGGCCATTACTTCTTCAGTTTACATTTAATTCACCATTTGCAGCTAATCTTAACTTAATCCTTGAACATATTTTTAATTTTAGGGGGGAAATTTATCCAGATATGTTTTTTTTGGTCTGTAATAATCATTTTAATACAACTTTGCCAGCTTTAACTATGCTAACATTTCTAGGTAATTCTAAAGCTAATGGTAGCTGTTTTATCCAAACATCTTTTTGCTATTTTTTTTGACACAAATATTTCCTAATTTCTTCTGAAATTAATAATTTGTTGTCTTGTATCTTTTACTTGCTAAAACTCGTTATCCTAGCCTATCATGTAGCATTATACTATAAACAGTAATTCTACAAAACTCTTGGAGAACAAAAAAAAAATGCAAAAGAAAATCCTTAACATGATAAATTTCATAGATTTGTTAAAAGTTGAATATCAATTGGACTTTTTGAAACAGTTTTTAACAAAAACACTGTGGGGAATTCAAGCACATTATTAGGTAAGTGGAGGTCACTTTTCCATCCAACTCTTTTTCACCGCCTATTGTTAGCAAAATTTAGCTTATGCGTCATTAGCCAAGTTTGTTTCTTACCATTTGTGCGAATGCAACGTGTCCACACGTTCAAATTGTTTTCACTCTTGGAGGTCAGAGTTGAGACCTGCACCTGTGTTCAAGACAAAACAACTGTATCTTCCTGAAAATACATGCCTGGAAACACACAACTGCTTCTGACAGTACAACAGTGACTCAGACTCACTCCTTCGTAGATAAACACGTTCGGTTTTCTCCCCCAAGACCTTAGACGCAGGTTTTTCTTAATCTTCATGCTTCATTTACAAAATGAAAATTTAAAAAAAATTAGACAAAGATTAGTTATGAGCAAAGAGACATCTTCTCCTCTGTCTTTATTTATCGAGTGCAATTCAGTGTCTGCAAAACAACCAGACGTCTATCAAGCAAAATGATAGCTTACATTTATGTCATCATGTGAGAACAAAAGATCTCTGATGGGACACTGAACTTCTTGAAATTCTATTGGGGCCAAACTTTGCAGCAAAAAAAACAGTGGAAACTCAGTAGTTAAAGTAAAAACCAGCTCATGGCAACAAAAAGAAAAGAAATCCTAGTATTTCCCTGCCCTGACAAGACAAATGTGAACATTACAGGAACAAAAATCAAATTAATGTGAATAAGCAGAGGTCATCTCTGAAGTAACTGGAAGTAGAAATAAATTAAACAATTAAGGAATTTAAAATAATGTAGACACAAATCAAAAGGAAAACACATTTTAACTGTTATTTTTAACATTTGAAGATGTAAAACTATTATACTGTTTAACTGTCAGTGTAATATTATGGCCGCAACCATGCATCAATCAATTTTTTTCAAATCTAGACAAAAATAATGAGCTTTTATGACAACTTCATTCAACAGAGAAACTCTACTGCCCTCTGCTGACTAGCTCTGAAACTGGAAGCGTGGCGATTCTTCACACTGGCTACGAGATTGGCTTTAAGAAAAGTCAGCGGATGTACTGGAAGTTTATTCTAGAAGTGGGAAATCGATTAAAGCAATACTTAGACCTAAGGGGGAACAGAAAAGCATCTACTCCTGATGTTTTCTGAATATTTCTGTTTGTTTAAATTTCTTCATCTAAAAAAGAAGCAGCTGAGGTGAACTTGAGTTAAATTCCATGTGCGTTTTGACAATTTATTTTCCTTAAATGAGGCACAAAGCAACACCAGATGAGATTTAATGCAGACTTTTCACATCTCAGCCTCTTTGTGGTGGATTCTCCTCTTGTCATGCTGGCGTTTGGTGAGTCCGTACTTGAAGAACTCATACACTGACCAGCTGATGGCTGTGGATGGCATCTGGTAAATGACCCTAGCTTGCACTCCCTTGAAGAAACCCTTCAGGCCGCCCAACCTGTACACAGTCTGGAAGGCATGGGCCAGGCCTGAGATATGTCTGTGGGCTCCTTGACCTTGGCTAGAACACGAAGAGGTGAGGGCCAGAGACTCCTGGGTGTTGAGCAGGGTCTTGCAAACATCCAAAGGTGTCGTGGCTGCAGCTGCAATGGCTCCGGCCAAGGCTCCTGAGAACATGTGCGATGAAGGATTGTACTGTCTGTGGGGGTTGAGCAGCTCCTGCAGGTACTCGTAGGTCATGAAGTGGAGCGCCTGGAAGGGCACGTTCATGGTGAGCTGCGTGGTGTAGCTGCGGTAGAAAGCAGCTGCGCCTTCTTTCTGCCATACGGCGCGTACACAGTCCAAGACGCTGCGGTATGGCGAGTTATACATCTGCATTCGCTGCTTCACGACTACAGACACACGTGCAGTTGCACAGATAGAAGAGAAGGCAGAATGTGATAAATGATGGTCACAGGAAAAGTGGAAGACTATAATGAGCACTTTGGCACAAATACACATTTCTTTACAGTACTTCCTGACACAGCTGCAGCTCATTGAACAGCTGCTCATTGCTACTCTGACCAGTGTCCTTCTACTGACACGTTAGAGCAGCTGGTCTTTAATACAGTATTTGAAGCTGCAGGGTTAAGGACAGACTTGGCACCTGTAATATTCTTGACTCAAATTCCTTCATGAAAAACTGCACTTATTTTTACCATAAAAGGTAAGAGTGGAGTATTTTAAAAATTAATTCTTACCTTCAGCTGGATTCATGACTGCATCATGAAGCAGTGTTGCCACGCACCCTGCTGCTCCTGAAATATACACAACCTGGAAATAACTTCACACAGTAACACACGACAGAAGAAAGTTGAACAAACGCCTCTTTTACATCTTATCACACTCTTCATATTGCTGCATGTTTGTACATAAAGCAAAACTGGTGCATAGACACCAGACTGCACAGGTGTAACGACAAATCCTTCCAGGCGAAATATGGGCAAAGAGAGACATCTGGTGGACAATGCGGTCCACCGAGGTGTACTGTTAAAAACATCAGGCAGAGACAGAGATGGTGGGGTGATTCAAAGAGGACTTACCTCGCCTCCAACTGCACTGGAAAACAATGAGAAGAGAGAGAGAAAGAGGTGGAGAAAATAGGAAGAGTGAAGAACACAGCTTAGAATTAAAGCAAAGTGTCCTCTGAGTCCTCTACCCTGATTTTTATTTTTAATAAACATGGCCCAAGTCAGAAAATGTACCACTAAAATACTGGTAAACAGTGACTACTTAAATACCTTACAGAACAGACCAGGTGTAACAACCCTGGTCTGTTGGACAAAGGATTGGACTAGGGCTATCCCTGCTATTTTTCATGCAGCAAAATTAAGATAGATCATATTTATGCATGATTTTTGCATTTTGTTACTCTTAAGTTTTCAGATATATTGCATGGAAGACATTTTCATCCTTCTTTTCTGCATGTTGATTATAATGCTGCCAATGCACAAGTCAAATGAGGTGTTTTCTTTTTCAAAACACACAAACTGAGGTTTCTCCTTCATAAGTGGGAAGTTGGGAGACAATTAAGTGAAATGAGAAAGAACAAACAAAAGTCTTGTGAGCTTTTCCTGCCCAAAGACAAGCGGACCAATCCCTGTCAACTCTAATCAACAATACGACAGACTATATGCTAACTAAATTGTTTCCGAATAAATGGTGAGTTGAGATACCGTTAGCCAAATGACTGTTAGCCCCCGGGTGAATCACATCGCTTAGAGTCCGTTTAAGTTTCTCATAGCTGGCAAAATAGAGAGCATGGGCGGGTCCTGCACCGATCGCTGTCACACTGAGACCCCTCAGTGGGCGCCAGACTCCCTCTGTGGTTACAATTCGTCGCAGTGCGTCCATAACATTTCTGTAACGGGCTGCCGGGTCTGGCTGGAGGCTCTGCATCCGTGTCTGGAGAGAAAAAAAAATGTTCTTAATAAAAAAATCAAGAACAATATACATAAAGTACCATCTACAGCAAACTGTGAAAGAAATCAGAGTCAGACCGAAAGTTGCAGATAAAACTTTGAGGATTTGTCCCAACTTTGGATTTGAGCTTTTGGTGTATGGATACATGTAAATGAATAGATAAACTAGTCTGAAGAAACAAACTCTAGGGGTCACACGAGGTCACACGAGGACTCTGACCTAGAGGCCAACATATATTTTCTAAGCCTTGGGACACATATGGCAAACTTTAAAGTACAAGGACAGGGTTCAGCTACTAGAGCAGACTTTGCCTTAATTGAGCAACAGCAACTTTTTACACCAAAGTAATCAGACTGAATTGAAAAGCTCACACTAATGTGGCTTTATGTGCCGATGCAGTCAAAAAATATCTGCATTTGCTCTGGCTGTAACTCAGTGCTAAAGCTGTTTAATGCACCGTGAGAAGGACTTTGCCAGCATTGGTACAAATGAGTGGTTCAAGTTACTAGTTTCTGGCACAGAACCATACGTGTTTGCGTACAAGGGAAAAAAGTGATCTTTGTGCATTCTCTGGTTGATGCACAGTTTTCATTTTTAAGATAAATGTGTGTGCACTTTGACAAGGCTGCAAATGCAACCGTGCTCTTCAAAATCCACTACAAGTTTCTGGGATTTAAGCCACATTCAGGGGAGCATTATAGTCTATCATAAACTGCAATTACATAATCTCTTAAGTGAGAAGCTCATTGTACAGAAGCATAAGGCTAAGAAAGGGAAAATTTAAGTTTACTGTAAATAATGGAGGAAATGCTTTGAAGTTCTTTAACTGCAATCTAGGTTTTAAATTTAAGTTTTAAAGGTGATGTTGAGTAGTTGACTGTTTTTACTCAGTCATGCTGCTCCACATCTCAAGTGTCTTTCTTGGCAAGTTACTGAGCTTCTAAGAGCATTAGAGCAAACATGAAACTGGACCAGTTTTGTCCTGGATCGTAGCTGTATCAGCATTGCACCAGGTGGAAGAGACATCTATGAACCATGAGCCTATAAGCAGCTTTGCATCCTGCCATGAACAGCTGACAATGTTGAGATCACTGTCACTGAGTGTCTCATTGGTTCTCTGCTAGGTACATAACGTTGCTGTCGACTTTTGAGGACAAAGGTATCCTTGATTGTAAATATTATTAAATGACTACTCAGCTGCTGAATTACTTTATTTTGATAATAAACCAATGATGTTGAGTTTGATTTTCTTTTGGCATTACAAGTTGTCTGATTTCAATCCATTTTGAATGTTATTTTACTTATTTATTGTATCTACACGTTGATAAAATAACTATACTCGAGTTGCCTCCTTTAAATATTTACTAATAAGTACTACTATAAACAGCGACAATGTTTTTAATGCAAAGACATTCAAATCCTCTATAAAGAGAACTAGTAGAAGACATGTTACTGTAATAACTTACAAACCTCTGAGAGGGTTGCAGTTCCAAAAAATGTTGACACTAGTTAATGTTAACAAGTTAATACAAGGTTGTAGTTGATAACCACATTATTTTGAGCTTTTATAACGCCAGGTTCAGCTGATAAATACATAAAAAACGATCATTTTTACTAGTGCTCAAAAGTAAGCGGCCATCTTTCTTTTCAACTCAAATCCTATGAGGTGAAACTCACTGAGGGTAGGATTTACAACTTCAGGAAGCAGTTGTTTTGTCACTTCCTTCCTCGAGTTAAAATGGACAAAAAAAAACGTAGCATGGTGATAAAAGCAGAAAGTTCTACTACTTTCTTATTTTCATTATGTTAGCTATAGAAAATAGAGTTGCAATGTTAGACACATTAATATTGCTCATCTCACACTTGTATTGCAATAACTAGTGTAATAAGTACTAAGTATTTGACAACCGTAGACATTTGTTATGTCATATTATTGAGTTCTGCGCAACGTCACCAAGATGATTTCCTTTTTTTTACTGGCCTACTACATGTTGTCATCGTAAGTCTGTTGCTAACGCTATGTGCTTGACGTTAAATGACAACGTGCTAACGTGAGAGCTAGCACGAATCTGAGCCCTAAGCTGACCTTGTCTCTGCACTGTTTTGCTAATGTGCTAAGCTACGAAAACACATTGGCTAGCTGAAAACAATGTCAATACAACAGAATTAGTTGGATGTGAAAATATTGCATGTTAGGGAGACTTTCAAGCCAGCTGCTTGCCACACATCGGCGATACCTTGACACAGTCGATGGGGAACATGAGGCAGTGCTCCATGATTCCGGCCACGGCTCCAGCCAACATGTGGGTGCTGGTGGAGGCTCCCTGTGGCAAACCCTCATATTCATCTGTTCCACAGTCCTCTGTTTCTGCATCTTGTGCACCGCAGATTAGATCAACAGTCTGCACCTCTGCCTCGCTTGAGATCCGCGGTGTCAGACTCCCCACAATACTTTCGGAAACTCCCCAAAATCTGCCCCCGAGCCAACGAACTTCTGCGCCCGCAGAGGCACCAGCAACCCCGGGATCCCCGCCTGTAGTCTCCGCTGTCATTCGACGCCTCCTCAAAAATCCATCTATTTCCATTAAAACCAGAATAATAAAGTTTTACACGCCAGACACACGGTAAGGACGTCGTGCAGAATGGTGTTAAGTCAAAAACTTCTCCATTCCCATGGGGCAGTTTCCGCTGCACGATTTCTGTCCTCCAAAGGAGATTCCCCACCCCGCCTCCGAGCTCAGAGTCAAGCGCGGCAGGCCGAGGCGTCAACAATCAGCATCTTCGTAGGCGGCCGCCATAGCTTCACTATGATTGGTCACAGCGGGCGGGAATAAACCACGCGATTGGTAGAGCCCCATATCAATCATTTGTATATAAGGCAGACGTTAAGCATATGCATCCTCACCACTAAAACAGGCAGCGTGGCAAGTGCGTGAAGCACCAAAAACCGTTACAGTGGGTATTATGTACATATATAATTGCACACAATCTCATATTGAATATAAAAATGCGAAGAACAAAAGCTGATTTTAACATGTTAATACGTATATTCAAAGGTAAACAGCAACTTTCCCCAAAATAAATGATAAAATCACAAGTGATCATTCTGACGAATATAAATACACCACCAGCCACAAGAAGTGCCTGGTGCTGTGTTGATCTTAAGAGATTCTGTCCCTTGTCTGTGTTATTGCCTTTTCCAAGAGGTCAGGATGTTGATAAAAAATTAGGAGAAATTACATACCCATGGAAGGGCCCCAATCAATTTTCCATACAGTATATGCTATATAGAAAATAAACCATACAAAATAGTTACATTGTTAAAGTATTTGGCTTTTTTCAGTGAAGCCCTCACTTACGATGACTTTAGCAGTAAAGTACATATTTTTGCTTGAATTAGTATGTAAGATTTATTTTCTGTATTCTTTATTTTCCTGAAATAAACTTCCATTTAATACTTGTTATAGAAGTTTATTATTGAATAATTGTTAAACCTGAGAAGACTGGTGCGTCCACTTTGCCTGTTGGCAAGGATCACATTTTTATAAAAAAAACTGAGTAATTGTGTCTTGGTGCGGCACTGTTAAACCACAATTCAATTTCCTTCTTTATTGGTCGAAAAAGCCTTCATGGGTTGTAGTGTTGGATTACTGCCGACGAAGGGGAATGAAGTGTTAAGTGTTAATTTCTGCTTACAAGAACAAAATCTCTTGCTTCTGATCTAGTTATAGATGATTGGCTGTTGTCTGCAGACGTTCTTTAAAGGAAAACCAAGCAGACATCGTATTAGGATCATTTCTCATCCCTTGAACTAATGCTGCTCTAATACACCAAGGGAAAAGCATGTTAGGCCAGGCAGGAAACTCTATATCACCATAACACCCCATTTCATTCCCTGCACCAATAGAGTGCACAATCTATAGAGTCTTAGGAATTATTTTACACTGTCTAAGCAAAATGTGGTGAAAAAATGTACATTACATGGACAATATGAGAAGATAACTAGCTTAATGTTCTGCTGTGTTTGGTAATTTCTGTACAAATTAACACCTTTATACCTTGAATCCAAGTGGTCAATCAATGCCTACTTTACGGATAAATATTCAGGCCTAAGGCATAATGTATGACCTCTTATCTAATTAACGCATGGTGAATAGAGCATCGAACCATTACGACATATTTAATGGAAGACACAATATGGCTCTAAGAGTTCATCTTAAGACAGTTACGATGGGCCCTTAGCTGTCTTAAGTCGTACTTATACACAAAACGACCTCTTATACGCCATAGATACTTAAATTGTCCACTGATGTACTGTAGTTTACATGTTAAAGTGTCAGGAATTGTCTGTAAACTAAAGAATCTTTAAAATGCGAGCTTATTTAATGACTCACAACCTGATGTACTTGTTTTCTAATTTATATTTGATCAATATGTTGTTGCATAATAAGCATAGCTCACAATAAAACCAAAATGTTAATATGATACTGACAAGAATACAGTGCTGTCAAGAAGAGCCGAGCATGACGTGGGTTTTTAGTGACGCAAGTGCGCCATCAAATGGATTACTGTGTAATTACAAGCTCAGCAGACCATTTTAACATTATCGACCCGCGCTATTAATTGTAGGAATTGTAGGAAAAACAATAAACTAAAGTTTCTAAATCACTTTTATTTATATATATATATATTTACCAAAACTCATAGTATAGCAGGTCGTTTAGATTGTTCTTTTTTAACTTATCAACATACTATGGTTTTCACACGTAAGTGTCAATTTGAGGGCAAAAACTTTTAACTAAAAAAAACAACCCTTTTAGGATATTTTCTGACGAGACATTAGACTCATTTCTACTTGAGGTCGGACTCGAGCTCAACACACTCTAAACAAGATCAACAACAACAAAAAACAATTCATGTGCATTCATATTTTTACGCGAAATTGCTGAAAAAACAACAACAACCACAAAAGTCGCATTAAATCAGCGGACTTTGTATTTTTGTCAATTACTTTGTATGTTCTGTTTCCGGCCCGAAGTATTTCATAATAATAGCATTGAAAAGTTTACAGACATAAGGAGGGTAACACTAGTGGTCTTTTATTTTGAAATGGTACAATGGAGCGCTGTTTTCTTTGCAGAACTGTCGTTGTTATTTGAGGAAAGTTCGTCTTTTCACCAATCATTTGGAGCTGCAACACGGATTGTTGTCGTGAAGGTGAAGCAGTCTTTACCCAGGGTATCAGAAGTGCTGCAGTGATGTGGACTCGCCGTGCACGAGGCACTGCGACTGCTGCTGGGAAAGTAACTCGGTCCAGATCCAGTAATGCTGGCCTAAAACCCCATTACGATGCACTGGTTATTGGAGGAGGTAAAGTATTATGCGAATATTAAAATAGCTTAAAGTGCCATGCAATTTGTTGCAGACGTAATGCAAACCTGCAGCCACATTTGCAAAAAGTGAGTAAAACCTTCATATTTACGTCGTAATTACACCGACAAGTACAGCCACTGGTAATGATGGTCCATAGAAACTTTACCAATAGAAACAGTGTGGTTTGATAAAATATTCATACATGTGTTATGATTTTTTCATTCTTATGCATTCATCAGCTTTTACAGTTGCTGCTGCTGTTGATAAAACTATTTGTGATCATACGTGTGACCGACAAAACACATGGAGATTGTTGGTGCAAAAGGATTTAGGCCTTAAGGGTAAAAAAAAACAATCATGTTCAAACGTCAGTGTAAGACCCCTTTATGATCTTTACAGCTGGTCTGTCCGAAGTCCATTCGCACCACGTCTAACTATCCGCCTGCAGTTAGTTATTTATAGTTATAGTTATTTTTTAGCTTAAAGTTATAGTATGCACGATTATCTCAGGAGCTCATCTTCCTCCCCCTGCAGGGAGGTATTGTGAACAGCACTTTCTTATCCCTGACTGTTGAAGCTAAATATAGTGTGTACATTGTTTAAACATGTTTTTCTCTTGCAGGACACAATGGGCTGGTGGCAGTGAGTTGCTTCACTTGGTTTACTGTCCATAATAAATTCAACGTTGCAGGAAAACATGATAATTTACTAATACAACCATTTGTGTGTTTGTGTGAAGGCTGCCTACCTTCAGAAAGGAGGTTTGAAGACAGCAGTGTTAGAGAAGAGACATGTTTTAGGAGGAGCAGCTGTGTCAGAGGAGATCTTTCCTGGTGGGTTGATTCTAACTGGACATAACCTGTCCTGTCATAGGAATTTGATTTCCTGAAATTGTTTTCACTCAATTCCTTTAAGCCCCTGTGTTCTCTCAGGTGAAAAAAACACTGTGTAAATATGGTGGGTTCATGGCTTTATTACCATCTAGTACTTAATAATAAGTGATAAATAATATTTTATTATTACTATTTACATGTAAATGTCTTATTTTATTGTAAATGTATAGTGTTTTGTATTGACATTCTCTCTTTATGTGATGCTCTGTCAATTTTGCAGCTGCAACTTGACAAATTCTAATCTAATCTAATCTAATCTGACCTGATTTGACTTGACCTTTGACTTGCTCTACTCATTAAGTCTTGTGTTAATTATTGATTTAATTATTTGATTTACTAGTCATCCACCTCTCGTGTGCAGGTTTTCACTTTTCCAGATGTTCTTATTTACTCAGTTTGTTGCGACCGCAGATATATAAAGACCTGGACCTAAAGGTACATTCACAGTAATGCACAAGTTAATCACTTAATCTTAAATCTTTCATATTTCTGTAAAATAATAAAATATTATTTCATATCATATTTTAATGTTTTGACATTAGTATATCCGTCCTGTACACAGAAACATGGGCTGAAGTTGTATAAGAGAGACCCGCATGCTTTCACTCCTATGTTGGAGGAGGGTGTATCAGGTGCTCCTCCGAGGTCACTCACCCTGGGTTCAGATCTGGCCATGAACCGACAGGAGATAGGGAAGTTCTCAAAGAAGGATGCACAGGTAATTTTAGCATGATAATGTCCTCGAGTCCTTGTTTTTATATGTGTTGAACCTTGAGTCACTGCTACCATTTGTATCATACTTCCACATTTCCGCAGGCGTATCCTGACTTTACGGCCCATCTTGAAAAACTAGTTGAAGCTGTTTATCCTCTCTTGGATGGTCCTCCAGTCAACATTCCCGGTGTCACTTCGGGATCACTGAGAACGAGACTGGCTGCAGCTAAAACTCTGATCCCTGCTGTGAAATTTGGTTTGTTGATTGATCAATGTTTTTGCCAAAAATGTTCATAATTTTGTTGTTTCAGAAAAAAAAAAATTGGTTATTGTTGTTGTTATTCTTTGCATTAGAACAATGTATTTTACTCTGCACCATTTGATGGATTTTGTAGGTTTAGGACTTGGCAAAAATATTCCAGACTTTTATGAGATTCTGACTGCGCCGGCAACAAAGGTTTGTTATAAGGAGCAGAAAGCTCACAAAAGCCTGTTTTTTTGTTAAAATTTGCCAGAGTGTGACTTATTTGTACTTTGTGTTGTAGTTTCTCAATCAGTGGTTTGAGTCAGAGCCACTAAAGGCCACACTGGCCACTGATGCTGTGATTGGAGCCATGACAAGTCCAAGCACTCCAGGCAGTGGGTGAGGAAGATTTGAATAGGCAAACACTTCCTGTTAAAACTTCTGATGGATGTAGTTTAAAACAGAATATGTCTAATAAACACCATCTTTATTGCTCTTGCGTAAAGATATGTGCTTTTACATCACGTGATGGGAGAGTTGGAGATGGAGAGAGGAGCGTGGGGTTACGTAGAAGGAGGAATGGGAGGTGTGTCTCAAGCTATTGCTCGTGCTGCTCAATCTTATGGTGCAGACATTTTCACTGAAAAGGTAGACTTGTGTCTTTTAGTTCAGTGCAGACATTTTCACTGAAAAGGTAGAGGTTTGTTGTTATTAAAATCATTTTAAGTGTGTGTGTTTTTCAATCTAAATGTATATGTAATGTGCATCTGTGGCAGGATGTGGGACACGTATTGGTTGGTTCAGACCAAGCTGCCAGGGGTGTGGTGCTAAAGGATGGCACAGAAATCCACAGTCAAGTGGTTTTGTCAAATGCTACGGCGTATGTGACCTTCAAACACCTGACACCAAAGGTAACAGAGAAATGTACCATGACACCACACACAAACATTGCACAAAGTTAAGTGGCTTTTTCTGACCTCTGAGTCTTCCTTTCATTGTAGGATGCTCTTTCTCCAGAGTTCATCAAAGCTGTTGATCAAATAGACTACACATCGCCTGTTACTAAGATCAATGGTAAAAAAATCGACTTTGGTTCCTTACTGCTAAACACTAGCTTATAACATTATATATCACCAAAATAAGAAAGGTAAAAATAAAGAGCACGTCAGCAACTGTGTGATAATCAAGCAGAGGCTAATCTTGTCTTTCCTTATGGAGTTATGCCATTAATGACAGAAGCTTAGTACACAAAAACCTCATTGAAGTCTAAATGGACATAATGTCCTTGTAACTGATCTGAGTTTATTGTCTCCCCCGATGTTGCTGGCACTGATTTTGACAGTTTGATTAATAACTTCATTTATCCACTAACCCTACCTGAATAGGATTATTAGCCACTGGACAGCAACAAAAACATTTTTCTTGTTATACACGCTGAAGCCTGCTGCTCTCCAATGTTAACAGTGTGTTAAATGATGCATTGCACGCTCTTGTTGTTTTAAAGAATGGAGAAATTAACGGTGCAGGAGAGATGAGCTCCTAGTTCTCCAGCAATAACTACAGACGTTTCAAGACTGACTCTAGGACAAATTCACAAATGTTGATTTTACAGTGGCTCTGGACAAGCTCCCAAACTTCCTCGCACGTCCCACACCAGACCATAAACCTGGACCTCACCATCAGTGCTCCATTCATTTGAACTGTGAGAGCATAGAGGTACTGGAGACTGCGTACAAAGAAGCCATAAATGGACGTCCCTCTGCCAGGTACTTACAGTATAGCACTGGTAACTGCACCTGTATATGGCTAAATAAGAAATATTCAATACATTCTATACCTGCAACAAACAGCACTGAAGGAAAACGTGCAGAACCTCCAGAAACACCAGATTTTGCTTTGTATTTGTGGTATCTTGTGTATGTTTGTTATGTAGAACCAGGACCTGCACAGCATAAAGTAAGGCAGGGATAATGTAGGCAGTTGCCTCAGGCCTCAGGTGGAGTTAAACAAACAACTGCTCCGATAAACAAACGTGTTGTCATACATGAATAAACAGCCTTTTCACTTTAACAACTGACCTCAGACACTGACAAAACCTTCGGTAACGTTGAATCTTAAAATAGTTCAAAGCTTAAAACACTGTTATATATTTAAAAACTTTGTTTTTATTTAGCTTTGAATGTACTTTCTCTATCAAGCTCCTTCCTCCCTACAGGCCGATGCTGGAAATGACTATCCCCTCTGTGTTGGATCCCACTCTGGCTCCCCCCGGCTGCCACGTTGTGTCACTGTTTACCCAGTTTACACCCTACCACATAGAAGGCAGGGAGTGGACAGACGAGGACAAAGAGGCCTTCGCAGATACTGGTTAGACACACACAAAATATTCATCATGTGTCATAACTGTGGCAGTGTCAGGGAGAATGCAGGTGTGAGCATGCTGTCACTACAGCTGATCAGGAAACAGAAAGGAATGTGGAAGTTGTTTTGAAAAGACTTGTTTGAATAAAGCTGCGGTTTAAGGCCACAGTTGTCGTTTGAAGTTGTAAGTCTTTTAAAATAAGCAGAGATCAAACAGATAATGAATTTATTTAAATTTAGTTTTCGACTGGGTTGAGCAGTACGCCCCTGGGTTCAAAAAATCAGTGGTGGGAAGAGACATCCTGACTCCACCTGACTTGGAGAGAATCTTTGGGCTCACTGGAGGGGTAGGTGCAATACACACACACACACATACATACATACATATATATATATATAAGTAAAAAAAACACAGTCATTAATTAACAGCATAAGGGAATGTGTGTTTTCAGCTTTTTGTTGTCATTGTGTACTCAGGCACAGGCACATTTATATGCTGGTAATGGTTACAGACCCAAACAAATGAATCTCAAAGTCAAAGTTCACATTTGTTGATTTTAGGTCATACTGACTTTAACTAACTATGTCACAGAGGACACAGAGGGTCTTATCAAAGCGTTTATTTCAATACAAAATAGTTATAGTGAGGAGAAATATTAATATATGTAAAATAAATACAATATTAAAAATGTTTCTTTTAACAGAATATCTTTCACGGATCAATGTCTCTGGATCAGCTTTATCTGGCACGGCCTTTGCCCTCTCTGTCTGACCACCGGTCACCAATCAAAGGCCTATATCTGTGTGGCAGTGGATGTCACCCAGGTTGGTATAAAATGCTGTGTGGTCTGCCTTTAACTCTGCACAGTCAATGAAACTTTGATCTTGTGGCTGTAATTGTATCCTCACTGCTCAAAATACACAGTATAAGTCACCTGGTGATGCCTGGTGGCTAAGTCACTCCCCGTAACAAAAGCTGCTTGACTCATGTCTGTTTATTCTGTCTATTTAATGTTTGCTAAGGTGGTGGTGTGATGGGTTCTCCTGGATGGAATGCAGCACGTGTAGTCATGGCTGACTTGAAACAAAACTGAAACATATGGCAGTTCCGTCACCGGGTCAATTGAGTTTTACCTCCTTTTTCAACTGATTCCTGTGAAGGTCATTGGTTCTACAACTGATACATATTACTGTCAACTCTTACATTAATAAGGGTGCTAGAAATTGTGTACAATTGTGATGATGCACCAAAGTGAATTATGTTGCACTGAAGAAGTTTTAAAAATCAAATAATTTTTTATTTTTTTAAATCATAACACAATCATGGCAAGTTGTCTGCTATTTCTGCTTTACATTCTGCTTTTAAAGTATTATATTTCTGGATAATAAACTGCATATGCTCCCGCTCTCTCTCTCTCTCTCACTCACTCACACACACACACAGTGTGTTGTGGGTCGCTTTATGCTACCAACTTTGTTGTTCTGTTTTCACATTTCAAATTCATATTTACTTGACAACTGTAATCTTCGTTGTCATCTTTTAGTCTCCTTCATATCAAGATCATTGGTAACCATTTTATTTTCTAGTATTGATAAAATAAATGAAGTCCTCTTAAATGTCAAAAGAGAAGAAGGTCATTGATTTTAAATGCAATATCAAATTTGATCCTCCCTACACACCGTTGGTCTACGTCACCGAGCCGGGCCTTACGTAAATCATTAACGGTGTACTGTTCCTTTAAGACGCTTCTCAGGGTGGACCAGCCGTCGCTGTTTGACGCTCAGGAAGTCGACTAAACCACCAAGATTCCCGCAGATTCGATACCAAACGGCCTTGCTGTGATAACTGTCTATTCTGAACCACTAGCTGAAAAAAGGACAGTTTGAATACTTTTCCGCCGATTCCCGTGACAATAATGCTGGATGGTTGCGCTGATGAAATTCACCAGAGACATATGCAGACTGTTGGGACTCGCAAGCGGTAAGAAATGTCCTACTTTTGAACTTTTTCGAAAGTCGCCCTCGCCTCCAGGCGGCTCCGCGGGGAACGTGGAACGTGTGTGCCCGTGGAATCTTTGCTACGATCGGTTTGTGAAACTCACCATTTATGGTAGTATTTTGATGTTAGCTCCTTAATCCTCGGTGCAGCAGTGAAGGTTGCCCTCTTACCAGTTACACCCATGATTTGTTGACTTTGCACAACTTTCAGGTTTCCACACTCAGTGTAAATAAAACCAAAGATTGGTGTAGTCACTAAATAAATTCAGCAAACGCCCGAAATCTTAACGGTAATAAGTACTTAAAAACCAATGTCCCACTTGTTGGCAGTCAAATCTAAACAAGGGCTTCGTGGTCTGTGTAATTGTGTAGTAAATCCGCCGTGTTATTAAAAAAAGAGACGTTATTTAATTGTTTTAAGTTCATGTGTCGTTCTCCATTGTTGAATCGATATAAACGAGCACAAGCACAGTCATGTAACTATTTGCAGATTACATAGGTCATTATGAGAAAAGTATTTGTAAAATCTAAACACAATTCAGTTTGCAAGCGTAGTTAGCAATGACCAAGGTATTTAAAAAGTGAACACCCCGTTTATTAAAAACAGTTGGATCGGTTTCGTTATAAAGCCATAGCCCGAAAATGTGTTGTCTTGGTTTAAAGACAAACGATTTTATCATTTCAAAATGTAGGAACCTTTGTTTTCCAAACAGTTCTGCAGATGTGACAGAGTGATTAAAAAAAGTCCACCTGTCATCTGTGGTCTCCCGAGAGAATAACGAAAACGTTAACGATCAGATGTAAACAACAACACTAAAGATATAAATACATAAAAAGATGAATCACTAACTAAGTTGAGAGACACCCATATTACCCAGCTATAATTGATTAATCAGTAGACATATACCTGTGAAACAGTACACGCACGTTTGATTAAATAAAAATAATTTATTGTACTGTACTTGTGAACTTTGAACTTGAGTGAAAACCTCTTAACTAAATCTTTTATCTTAAAGCCACCAATATAGTGTTGTAAATTATCACTACCATCATTACCATTGGTCGGACCATGTTGTAAATGTGATTTTTTTTTTTTTTTTTTTTTATGAAGAGAAAAAGTGTCCATGCCATGTCAACTTTTGGAAAGACTAATCTAAGACTTGACATTTATTCCTGGCAGCTGGTAGTTACAGATTTATTACAAAACAAAACCACTGACTGATTGTATTATTGCTAAACACTTGATCTGTACTTCTCTACACAGATGTACACAGTGTAAAGGAGAAGAAGTCAAATAGACGAGTGGAGCGTTTGATGGGCTTGAAGCTCCAATCATGATGACATGCAGTTATTTTACATTCTTACGGAAAGAGCTCACCTTTCGAGTAGGCACTGATCTTGACGATCAGAAACACAGAGTCTTTTGTTTTGTCCCTGAGCCTTGGATCATTTATTGTTAGAACATTCCATGATGGTACAGCACTGAATAAAGGCTGATTCAGCTAATGGCACAGGGCTGTTTTTCGGCAGAGACGTATTTTGACATTTAAGCAATAGTCTGGAAAAAGACTGTTCTGCTTTCTAGAAATGTAATGTGAGGAGTCAAACTGAATCATCACCAGCTGAGTCACTGATCTGTTTTGAGTTCTTGTAAACACCACTTTAATTGACTTTTACATATAAAGCAGTTTTTTCTGAGAACAGTGTGTAACAAAGGGAACACAGCATGTCATTAGTTGTGGTATGGTATTTCTTTCAGATTTTCTTTGAAATAACCAAGACAATCTGAGTCCTACAGGGGCAACAACTTGTTCCTGTTGATATGTTACTACTTTTGTCTCACGTTAATTGAACAATATTGGGTTTAATCGTCACATATTTGAATGTTATTACAGGGCCTCCAGTCCAGCAGCCGGAAGAGCAGATGGACTGCGATGGAGCCACTCCTAAACCAAGCCATGATGCCAGTCTGTCACAGGTAATCAAAGCGGTGACATGTCCCACGGCCGTAGCTGAATCTGAAGGGAAAGGTAAAACGTAGGCAGTGTGTTTCTAACTCCCTCACGGTTTGTGTATCCAGGATGCATTAAATGGAGAGGAGGATTTGAGTGAGGAGGAGAAAGTCAGAAGAAAAGCTGAGCGAAGGAAAGCCAAGAAAAAGGTAAGTACGCAGATCAAATTAATTGCGTTCTTTGCTGTAAGTTATTGATCATTTTTCCTATGTTTGATGGCTTGTATTTCAGCGCCGCAGAAAACGTAAGAAGCAGGAGCAGGTCAAACAAAGTGAGACAGCTGAGCAGGTAACAGCCAAGTCACAAGTGTTTTTTTTCTCTTTTTCTATAAGTAGCTAAATGTTTAATAATACTTTGGTGAATTTTAATGCTCTGACGCATCAGGATGAGGACGATGAGGATGTTGGAGCCGAGTCTGAGCTGGATGAAAGTGAGTCAGAGCCTGAGGTCGGTACAGAAGAGGAGAAAAATGAAGCAAAACCCTATGACTTGACACAAAAGGACCAGAAGACGAGATCTGCAGAGGAGGTGGGGTCTCACATTCAGAACACGCAGGCTTGAAACTACACAGATTCATATAAAAACATCATTATAGAAGCTGCCTTAATCTTTTCTAAGGTCAGTATTATTAGCCCTGTAAGGAAGTTATTATTTTTCTATTCATGGCATAAATCAGTTGTTAATGTGTTAATGGAGTACGTTTTTTTTAATGCAATTTTATTCCATATATTATATAGAATAAATCCGAATGATGCTGGATGTTTATATTACCATAACTGAAACAAGTAAAATGCTAATTTGGTCCTCAGCTGTATGTTGGTGAGTCTGTGCTGCACAGAGTTGAACTCCAGTGATTGAATTGTCCACCATCCTGCAGGAGCCCGAATGGGACGTGAGCAGCGCCTTCTTTGCAAACGCTGCTAGTCATATCAAACCCAAACAGACAAGTCGCAAATCCAGAGAAAATAAGGAGAATGAAGCCAAGCGGGAGGTGAGTGAATGGCAGTCAGGTGACGGCTGTAGCTGACTTAATGGATTTTGTCTTCATTTGTTTGAGTGCAGTTCATATAAATGAAAGCTTCACTATTAAAAATGATCGTTAGATAATGACTAACAAAATGAATGAAATAATAAATAAATTTTCTGTGGATAAGTCATTGCTTGCCCCTCGTCCTCGCTCCATGTTTTTTCTTTGGGTGATACTACTGAGTATGGAGCAGTGGACTTTGGATAAACCAAACAAAGAATGTCATGTGTTAAAAGCAGACCTTGGCCACCGGAGCAATGTCGTATTTCAGTATTTGTTGACCTTCGAGCATTCCATTCCCCTGCGGGGACATGTGTTTATTCTTGCTGTAGGTATAAAATGCAGGAGACAAAGCTGACTGTCAAGAAAACCTTTTCCAGCTCTGAGAATAAACTAATGAATAACGCTCCTTTACTCTCTCACAGACAAATGGAACTGACATCGTAACCAAGAAAAGCACATCACTGACAGGTGAGGGATGATTTTTCAATACTAATACAGTGTGTTCAGTTGAGTTGCCTCGAGGTGCCGACGCACTGCAGAATGAATTCACGCATTTCTGCTCTGTCTCACAGAAAAAGGGATAAAATTGGTGCAAGAAGGACAGTACGCACAAGCTGTCATTATGTTTACAGAAGCCATCAGATGTGATCCCAAGGACAACAGGTGCGTCATTAGGAACTGTACGCAGACTTAAACACATCCGAATCGGTCTACCTTCATATTGACATTTCCAGTGTTCCTGCTTAGAGTCTAGAGAAAAAGAAAACAAGATTGATGTTGTAAACAAACTATCGACAGGAACAACTGTTATAAGCACAACTATGTGTGCTGAAAAGAATTGGACTAATTTAACAAAAAAACTAAACTCACTTCCCTGTTGAAGACTGCTGTAAAGCTGTGCTCATAATGGACTATAAACATGACATCATGAATGTTCTTTTAAAAACGTGATCTGTCGCAGTGGAGAAAAAAGATGCTCAGCAAAGCCACCAGTGGGTTTATACTTGTACGTGCAATATTAATATGATGTACTGATGTAATGATAATTACAATACAATCTTTTAGGTTCTTTGGTAATCGTTCCTACTGTTATTACTGCCTGGAGCAGTATCCTCCGGCCCTGGCAGATGCTGAGCGAGCAATTCAGCTGGCCCCAGACTGGCCTAAAGGATACTTTCGCAAGGGCAGTGCCCTCATGGGTATGAAGGTAGGTACAGCCTGCTGTGGTCATGTCATACACCAAGAAACATCCACAGTATGTATTTGTCTAATAAAACAGAACTTCCTCCTACCAGACAAGGAAATGCTTCTCCACATTTTTTTAACCTTGCTCGACTTCTTTTTAAATGATCAAAGATCACTTCCTTTTTAATCTGGTTTTGTACAATACATATCCTTGTTCTCTGTTATTGTTAACTGCCGTCTTTACATATCTCAGAGCTCGACTAAAAATGTTAGTCCCATAAAACAGAACCAGGTAAAAGCAGCGTTTTTAATACACCGTCCTGTCGAATCAAAGTAGAATACAAACAAACTTGAAGCTGTCGAAGCTCATTATTATTGGAGAATTTAAGAGTGCGTCTGTGTTTTTGTAGCGGTACAGTGAGGCGGAGACGGCCATGGAGCAGGTGCTAAAATTGGACAAAGACTGTGAGGAGGCCGTCACTGATCTCTTCAACTGTAAAGTCCTGCAGTTAATGGTAAACACATGGAGAAAAATGTTGGAAAACGTGAGCGTTGCTATGGTTTCCACCTGTGAAGCTTTAACTTGGCTTCTACGAAATGGCCACCAAATCTGACAGGCACTTAAATCTACACATTTGCATTATTCCTGTTGAAATTTCAGTCTGTTTTAACACAGGAGCTCGGCTTTGAAGAGTTGCAAAGCGTGCAGCTGTTGGAGAAGTTTTCCACAGTGCAGGCCGTTCAAACAGCGTGTTTGGAGGCAGCCAGAGGTAGGAATATATGCAAATGCATTTTACATAGAAAAAGCTAACCTAACCAGTATTTGTATGTTAGCATTTCCTGGGTTTTTTGCATATGTTTCACTGCTGAAACTGTTCTTTTCCAGCTGGAAACCAAGATCCATCAGTTGTGCAACCAGGGTGAGTAGGTGACATTTTGTTCACTCAATCAAAGCTAGAGGTCACAGGGGTCAGTCGTAACCAAAAGTCTGTTTTACTTAAGTTATAGACATATCAAATCATTTTCAGTGATGAGTACATTTAATCTTAATTTTTATTAACATTTGGTCATCACATTTAATGATTTGTTTACTTTTGGATTCAAATAGCTTTCTGTGAATGAGTCACACACTGAACCATTTTGTCTGATTTGTTGATCATGGTTTTGACAAACAAACAAAAGTAAACCTAACACATTAAAATCACACGGTAACAAACAAACACACAGACATACTTTCGCTCCCTTGTGGTTTACAAACTTGTTTTGATATCTCCTATACCGTCATCTTTTCTCCCACGTCCCACTTTCTCTTTAAAGTTAAACAGGTTTTTGTAGTGTGGCCAGTACTGAGTTCACTTCCTCTGATTGGATCCATATTGAGCTCCAAAAAATTTGTATTCACATTTAACTAAATGTGCTTTAGCTGTGTTCCCCTCACACACAAACAAAAGTTTCTGCCAACTAGTCAGGGATCAGTGCATTTTTCACACTTTAAATATTATTTTTAGTTTAAGTGTGATTTTTATTTTTTTTTATTTTATTACTGTGCATGTGAACTGTGGTATTTTGAACTCTGTTTCCTCAGAAGTCCTTGTGCATCTCTGTGGGTGGGAAATGTGACGACAGAGCTGACAGAAAAACATCTGTGGGACCTGTTTAAAATGTATGACTCTGACTGGTGATGTCTGTGCCGGTGGTTAAACCACAAATTGACACCATAAATTGAATTAACAAATCTGGTGGTTGGTTTGTCTCACCTTTTCTACTTTACACCATAGGTACGGTGAGATAGAAAGTATCCGTGTGCTGCACGAGAGATTCTGTGCCTTTGAACATGGCGTCTCGTGCTATGGAGAAACTAAATGTGAGCCTCTGTGGTTGTTTTCTACAACCTGAAACGTGGTGTCTGTTTATGAGAACACCGTGGTAGAGGATAACAGTCGCTGTGTTCACTTCCTCATGCAGGGTTATTGCATCGAGAACACGCGTCTAGTGGTGAGGTATCCAGACCGGCGCACTCAGAGGGTTCTCCCTGTTCCACTCAAGACCTGTCTCTCTGTAACACAGCAGGCAGGAGCAGCTGCTGGGTAAGACGTGTACTCTAACCTGAGAAAATCTGGTTAAAAAAAAATTGTCTTTACTCAAATACCAAAATGTACTCCTCTGTGCCTAGACCTCGAAGACGGGGGCCTGTAAACGGAGACGAATGTTACTTTTGGAGAACCACTGGCTGCCACTTCGGGGACAAATGCCGCTACAAACACATTCCGGATCAGAAAAGCAAAGACAGGAAACCCTGGCAGCCTTGACCTCTTCACTCCCCGTCTTGGTGTACTCAGAAAACCCAGGAAACCCTGGCAGCCTTGACCTCTTGGTGTACTCAGAAAACTGAGATACTCAGACTGAGCTACAGGAGCTGGTACTTAATGGACCAGGTTAAAAACAACCACATCACTGTGGCAGAACGGAGCAGCAGCGTGAGAAGACTTGAAATGGCACTTGGTTTTAGTCAAACACGTCCCACAAAGAAATGCAAGTACCAAGGTTGTTCTGTCCGACCGACAAGTCCCGAGAGCAGACGGGATGATGCTGCTAGTAGTACTGCAGGACTGAGTACTACTGCAGGGCAGCAAAACAGAAGAAAAGGCAACGACTAAATCCTCCGTCGTCATCGTCTTCATCTCTTGTTAACGTCCTTAGTAATTGTGGCCCCTTCTGGGACATGACTTTCATTTCCTCGAGGGACTTTTAGCTTCACAGGATCACGACAGAAGTGCAACTGGTTGGGATGGAGGGGGGCAGAGCCGGGAGGTTACTCTGTTGTGCTAAGAAGCATTAAAGAGACTGTGGTAATTTGTTTTTCGAGCCAAGAGTCTTGACCGAAGACCTTTTCATTTTCCAGATTCTGTCACAAAACAATGTTCCTCGATGTAAAACCTTTTAACTGACTGTCCACAGACCAAAGATGCAACAACAGACACATGTTAAATGATAGTTTATGGGATTTTTACTTTGAAGCCAGTACCCTCCACAGCTCCACAGAGGTGCCTTTAAATGTGTATTTAAGTTAATCTGTAGCAGGGAATTGAACACAGACTGAACATGAGAGAGAATGCAGGATTGTATGTAGTAATGCATGGCCTTGTTTGCCAGTTTATTTGCCTTTTTTTCCCCTTTGCTTTAAAGACACACAGCATGTCTGCAGAGTTGCAGGAAGGCATTTTACATCGAGTCTCATTTTTGGTGAGACGTAATGTCTTTTTGTTTTTTTACAACAAATAGCAAGTGTGACACACTTCCTGTCTCCTGGACCACAGAAGCTCAGAGACAATGATCTCAGCACAACTGAAAAGCCAGACTGTGTTCATTCATTAATGTCAGCGCTGGCATGTTTCCTGCTTATTTAGCTTTTTATGGTTTATGCAAAAAAAAAGACAAGCTTTTGTCGACTTTACAGACACGGTAAAAAACGTAGACAAGCCTGTGCACGACAGAACGCAGTGCCTTACACGCACCTACGCCTCCACACACTAACACACATACTGTACACACCTGTGGTGATGCAGGTGATCTGTCATTCAGACACAGTTTCCTTTAGCAGTATTTATTTTTAAAGCTATGACCTTTGTTTCAGTATTTCAGTGAACCAAAGAAATTCCTCGTTCACGGCTCTGCACTGTTAACAGCCTCATCTTTCTAGAAAATCAACACTATTTCTATTTCATAGCAGCATGTGTTTGTATTGTCCAATCAGTTAAAGCATTAACACTGTGGTTAAATCCGCTCTACATACGGTTATAAAATATTCGCAGCATGAGGAGAGTATTTATTTTATTTATACCTGACTTGTATTTTAGCAAACCTTTAGAGTTGATTTCAGTTTTAAAAAAATGATTTTCTTTTGCCTTTTAATTTTCCATGTGATCCCAACTTTGGCTTTAGTATTATTAATAAATTATAAAGTTGTAAAATAAATCACATGCCGCACTTCTGCTTTTTTTGTATGACTGTCCACCCTGCGACTAAAGGGCTGTGAAGGAAGAACCAAGTGCAAAACTTACACCTCATGCCTGTTGGTTTCAATTGTCTCTTATGCAAATGGTGATTTCAACTGCGGTTGCGCAACAAAATTAATTTTACAGTTAAATACGGTTGTAATGCATTGGAAGTCACTTTTTTTTTGTTTCAATTTTTCTGAGTCTATCAGATGTGATTAACCAGCACTCTGCTATCCTGTTTATCCCCAAATATTTTTTTATTGTCGCAAATGTTTTTATATTTAATAAATAAAACATCTATACCATTAGATTGAGTCTGATCATTTGTGTTTGCAGAAAATATTTGTAAATGATGTATAATTTGTGCAATCATTTAACCCTTGTACTGACTTTTAAATCCACAACAAAATTAACTATTGGTATTTATACTTTAATTCTATTTGTTTGTGATAATTGGTAGGACTAAAGTCAGACTAAAGGTATAATACAGATATTATTCACAATGTATTCAATGAACTTTGAATAACATTCAAAACAAGGTGGGCTCATTGTTTTACACCAGAGAGCAAAGAATGCAATGGTGTGAATTTCTCTGACACCCACCAGGAGGCAGTGCTGCATATGAATGGCTATGAAGGAAAATATGTCACCACCACCTCATGCAGTGAATATACTGCACATTTATCTTTTTTGAACTTGAGGTACAGAGACATTGGCCAAAATTTTTCCTCATGGTCCAAACCACGAGAGTAGTAAATCACAGCCGGGTAAATTTGTTAAAGTGTGTGTGTGTGTTAGGGGGAAGCTGCAGGGGAAGGTGGGGGGGTCGGCAACCCTGTCATCACCAAAAGCAGACGCTTGTGTGAAGCATGAAGGATGCTGTAACCATCCAGACCAGCGGGGAAGTGGAGTCATGACTGTCATTGCTGAGGAAGTGTGGGAAAGGCAACCAGGACGCTGCCGCAGATGACATTTTCAAGAGCGAGGATCTGTGGCCTCACACCACATGTGAATACATTTGTAGTCAAAGCGAGTGTGAGAGAGAGCGAGATGCCTCAAAATCAACATTTACACATCGACAACAGCATGGAGTATAAATAAGAAGCTAAGTATAAACATCCTGTCATAAACCCTCTCTTTAAAAACAACTTTGGCCTCTTTTGCTATAATTTCTTTTAAGTTTAAGTTTATTTCTTCCAATCATATTATGTTTTATACCAACTATGACTTTTATGGCTCAGCGCAATAAAGTTTTTACAATAATTTCAACATTATATATCAAAACCAAGTGGGTGTGTTATGGTTTATTCCCACTTCTTAACATTCGTCTCTAAACTTCACAGTAAGATTGGTTTAACAGCAGCTCACTGCACTGTTCAAACTCCGGTCTGGGGTCCAAACATGGTCCACAACCAATTTTTATGTGGCCCTAAATTTTACTTACAAAGTGCACCTAACATATCACCTGTATATAGTTATTTCAACATTATATATATCAAAACCAAGTGGGTGTGTTCGGGTTGCTCTCCAGTTCATACTATTTCTCTCTAAACTTCACAGTAAGGCTAAGGTGGCTTGGCTAGGTGCAGTCACCTAGCGTGTTGTCTGGTTATGCGGGCCAAGCATGACCCTGCCTTTCTTGACCACTACTTGGTTCGTTCAAGCAACATTTCCCCCTGCCCTTGTCTGCCTTTTTATCCAAAATGGAGTTTGGGAAATTTATAATCTTTCCTTTTGACTTAAAATGCGTGAAAGACAGCAAGACTGGAAGTCTTGGAGGTAATTACAGAGCTATTTGAATGCTGGCATTTTGTCCTTACTAAATACATTTGTTAAAATTGGGAATTACATTTGCATGCGACTTTATTACAGGGTAAAGCATCTCCAGAGGAGCAGTCGGCCTTAGGTGTTCTCACAGTACTGAACAGTCAGGTTGCCTCAGCCGTGTCCCAGCCACATACTGTAGACGCAGCAGCGTGTCCCTACGTGCTCCAGGAGCCACCGTGAAAGTAAAAGCATTTTGAAAACCCGGAGACGCTGCAGCGGGGGTGAGCATGAGGAGGTGCTGTCGTTTGAAAAGGCACTTGTTTATTGTTAGAGAGCGTGTATTTATTTCATGCCTCCACAGATTGTGGGTTCAGGGCAGAGCCGTTTTAGGTCGGCATAATTAAAGAGGTGGAAAGAAAGAGAGAGGACTCTGCCACAGAGGGCTGTGTCGCTCAGAGACTTTCAGCCCTATGAGCCCCACTGTATCACACACACACACACACACAAACACACACACACTGGTTTTGGTTTTGAGTAGGCTCTTTGCATAGACACATACATTCCCTTGGAGCCTCATCCTACATATTGCGAAGACGTGCCTTATCTTCAGGCTTACACTCTTATCTGATCATTAATAAAACCTAGTTCCAAATTTAAATCTCAAACACCAAAACACGGTCCCCACAAAGCCCCCAATATAGCATTTTCATTAAAGTGTCCCCACAAGTATAGCTATACCAGGAACACACACACACACTGGTTTTTATTGTGAGTATAATTTAACCCTAACTCAGTGTGTACCAACAAAGTCAGCTCACACACACACACACACACACACACACACAGTGAGCTGTAAAGTACTGAACACACACACACACACACTGAGCTGTAAAGTACTGGCACTCAGACTACAACACCTGTCTGGTCCATTTCAATTAGTCTGATATGCAACAGTGGCAGGATGTCACACAGCAGTGATTGTATTGGTAACCATAGCAACCTCTCACATTAGCCACTTCTCTTCCTGGTTTCCTTTCTACATCGGCCTTGAAGATCCCTCTGACTTCAGTCCACTAATACAGGGTCTGCACTTCCTGTATGGTCTCACCATCCAGGGAGGGACCACCGCTTTACCACCCAGTGGCACCGTCACCCGCACACACACACACACACACACACACACACACACACACGAACGTTTCAATTACGACTTCAAAGTTTACATGTACGCACACACACGCTGTCCACCGTCCACTTTCCGACTCTTGTACGAAACATGTAATTTCTTTAACCCTTTAGGACACAACCCTGCGTACAGAGCGGCCGCTCACAGCCGTGGTCCGTGTCCGGCTCCTTCACCTCTCTCTCCTGCCATGCGGGTGATTTTTCATGTCTATGAATACATCTTGATGTCTAAAAAAAAAAAAAAAAAACGTTCGCTGAGGTTTGCTTGAAAAACGAAATACAGTTTATCAACAAAACACCCTGAGGCCAAACATGTCCACCTGGCTATATTTGTCCCAGATCCTCCTGAAATGTCTCAAAAACAAATAAACAAGGGTTAAACTCTCAGACAGACGTCCACAGCCAACAGCAGGACCCTGACACTGAACCAGGACTAGAAAAAAAAAGAACATTCGCAGGATGTTTCTCCTAATACTTCAAGTCCAATCCCTCACTGATGACTTAGGTCTTTATGTTTGCTATACCATAATGAAAGGTTACATGCAGTAACATAAACCTGGCCAGGGGTGGTACGGCATAATCTCATAAGTCACGTTCACCATGGCTACGGTGAGGCTGGGCCACTTTTAGACATGGTGGTTTGCGGCCATCTCAACAAGGAAATATCTACCCTGTGGTACAGGGGAGCTTCTTTAGGACACTTGAAACTGGATGTTTGAAACTATTCTGGTGCCAGAGTCCTTCCTGTGGGTTACATTTACACATACATTTCTACACCCTGCAGTTGTGCAACGCTCTGCACACGTGCGACTGTGTAGAACATGTCTCGGTGAACCAGGTGAGGACCAGGTGGAGAAGAGCGGCCGGACTCAAAGACAGACAGACAAGCTTTATACTGAATTAAAGCTGGAAAACGTCTACCTGCAGTGTTAAAAAAAAGTTATTTAACAGAATATTACCTGTTTATTTGACAATTTTTTATTTGTTGTTTATATATATTAATTGTGAAATTAACAAACATATAACTAATGTAATTTAAAATACATCTTTCGTTTTGTAGTTTTACTGAAATGTATTTTTATTATATTATTACATTGGAAGAAAAAAATTGATTTAAGTTGTTTAATTTTATTATTAATATTACATTTTTTAAATTTATACTGATACTCCATATAATTAATTAAAATTTAGCAAGAAATAATAACTGTAGGTTACAAAGGTCGCTGTAGTAGCTATCAGAAATATTGAACCTCCAAAAGCTTTTGGGACTTTTGGGAGAAGCTTTTGAGAAAAACAAAAATCTAAACAATTTAAAAATATGGAACACAGCAAATGTCCGTGAGGGTATTGGGAGACTCAACCCCAAATGCAGCACAAAGGATGCATATGTACATGTGTATAAATGTTAGGTTTTTCATTTTAGATTAAAGTTTAGGTTAAGTGAACTTCAACCAATCAGAATAGCACATTATTATCTACGTCTCATTACAGTCAAGAAACTAGCTGCTTAGCTATTGGATATGTGTGTGTGTTTTGTGAATATGTATAGTTCACATTTTTATTCTCCATATTGTAAAAGCTCAATGGCCATATCATGGTTAAATATCTGCTTTAGTCTCAGTCAGACCAACCTGGTTAAATCAGACCTAAATAAGAGGCTCCATAAAACCTGTTCAGGACCACCAATGTCCCCTCTGCAGGTCTTTGAACATGTCTCTTCAGTGGCATCCATTAAGCAAATGAATGTCTCATTTTAAATCTCACAGCCGAACTCTGTCAGAGTGACGGTGGTTTGATGGAGGCAGCTGTAGTACGATTCCATCAGAGTATAACAAAGTTAAATCACTGCTGCTGTACTATTTTCAGTTTTTATGGCACCATCTGAGTTTGATCCAATAAAACATCTTTACAATTTGGCATGTGAAATAAGTCTGTGGTTCTATGAGCAAAAAAAAAAAAAAAAAAGGAACTCAAAGGGAGAAAGGAGCAGAGGAGGAGGGAGAAAGGGAGGCAGGGAGAAGGAGGGAAGAAGGGAGGATTGACTAAGGACAGCATTTAGTAGGCACACTCCTTCACTCAGTCACTCTCTCCTAAGCAGTGACGTCCTCCACTGCCAACATTTGCTGCCTGCCAGGTGAGTGCAATTTTCGCCTTATCTGCTCATTTTGCATCAATTAGTCAAAATATTTTTTTCTTTCTCTGTATTTTTGATATTTAAATTGATCAGTTTTATTTCCTGACAGTAACAGGTGTTTTAGGCCTTTACGTCCATTTACTGTCTTGTTACTTACTTCAAGATTCTCTAAAACAATACATTTCTTATTTAGAGCTAGGTAACATAGAAGCAAAAAACAAAACAAAACAACAACAACAAAAACAATAAAATGAGAAGTTTTGGCCACAGTGAGAGGAATGACTCCAATCTTTTTGATTTGCCGTCAGTTAAACTGCATTTTCTCGTCTGTTTCTCCGTTGGTTTGTACGTTTCGGTGTAATTTGTGCTCAGCGCTGTTCTGTGGCCTGCCCTCAGTGATAAACTGTCTGTCTACACCACTGTCCTCCTTAAATTGCCCTGTGACTCAGTGTAAAGCTGCTCCTACAACCTGCTGCTCCGTCTGCTTGGTTTGCCTTCAGTGATGTTCACTGGAGGAAACTGCATAAAAACACAGAGCAGGTGACAGACGTATTCATTAGAAGCGTTTTAAGGCTGCTCTTCGTGGCTGCAGTCTGATTTATGCTCCTGCTGTGGGGAATATCACACATGTAGCTGAAGCCAGTGGAGTGTTTCTGTGACTGCTGTAATCTGATGTTATCAGACTCTGCTCTGAACCACTGCACTGCTTTATCACAGTGACAGCAAAGAACAGTGAAGAGCACAACGGAACATTAAAGCTTTAATATTATTTCCCCACTACCTTCACTATGAGCATTCTTTTGTCCAGTGGATGTCACCATTGGCCCGTGGCTAACACAAAAAAGCACAGGTCATTGGGTTCTGTATTTTAATGGTAAACCAAAAACGATCAATAATAATAATTATTATTATTCTGGTAAAAACTATATCAGAATATATATAAGAATTTGTATTTTTCAAAGGTTTCTATTATTGTAGTACTTTTTTATTTAGTCAAAAATATTATATTACTACACAGAATATGTGTATTCAACATTCAACCCACACCTGGGTCAATACATTTTTCTGTTTTTAGACTTTTAAATGAATATTTATCTGTTTACTATTAAAATGTGCCATAGATTTAACAGATTTTTTTCAGATAAACTATTTATTAGGTACTAAATATGATCTTTAACTGTAGTTAATATTGTACTCAGATATCTTTATCTGACTCGGATGACTAGGGTTCAAAGTGTAGTGAAAACTGGTCAGTGACACAAAAACCACCTCAAACCTTTTATGCTGAGAAATCTTTTCAGCAATTTTACTGCCCTCTAGAGGCACCGTTTTTCACCAATAAATATTTCTACAGAGAAATGTTCAAAGCAGCAGCAGCATGACAAAGACAATGGGAAAATGACAGCAGGGGGCAGCCTCACTGCAGACGTTACTGCATGCACATGCAGTAACAGGAATGTAAATACAATATAATTAGCCTGTACTTCATTAGAAGTACTGAAGTATTGAAGTATTGTCCCTGTCTCCACCTTCAGGCCTCCTCCACCTCCTCCCAGTCAGGATGACCCGTGCCTTCTGCTTCAGCTTCCTCCTCCTCCTCCTCTTCATCTATGCTCGGGCTGAACCCCGGAGAACGACAGCCTCTCAGCGCAGGGTGTCACGCGCTCCAGCCGCAAAAGTGCGTCTGGCGGGGAACTTTGCAAGGGAGCCGCACGAGGGCCGCGTGGAGGTGCTGCACAACAACACGTGGGGCACCGTGTGTGATGATGAGGTGAACCTCAAACTGGCCAATGTGGTGTGCAGAGAACTGGGCTTCCAGAGTGGAATAACGTGGGCACACAGTGCCAAGTACGGAGAAGGGGAAGGTAAGAGCGCCACCTATACTCAAGTTTGGTTTTGATACTGCTGATGGACACTTTTCGACTGAAGGAGAGTGAGTTGAAGTGAAGGTAGCCCCCTGTAAAGGCTCTGCAGGAAATGAAGGGAACTAGTACTACCCTTATTTACAAACCCAGTATTGACTTTATTTATCCCTACTTGCTACTTTTTAGATTTTCTACACTGAAACACAAGATAAACTTTGAAACTTATTTAAGCACATAATCGTAGTGTGGTTAGTATCCGGGTCTCAGCCCTCGTACTTCCATAGTCAGGAACCATGCAGATTAGGTTATATAGACTTCAAATGAACCTG